GGGTTTGTCTATAGCATAGACAAAACCAGGGACATTGGCAACTGGTACCACTTACACTACTCATTCAGAATGTGACTTGAGTACAACTGGATGCACACATGACTCCATGCCAATGCTCCTTATATTCTTCTGGGAAAAAAATAATACATAGACTTGTAGCTGAGATAAAAAGGGATGGTAAGAATGTCAAAACATGAAAATTGAAAAAAGAAAATGAACTTACCTTCTTCAATGTGTTTTTGCTGCAAGCAAGTGCACACGAAGCACTGTTGTTTCTTGGATTCTATCACAACCAAGGCTATGTACAAGTCACATTCTGAAGTTTTATGAGTGAGTGGCTCAAACAGCTTTTTAATCATCAATCGGGTTTGTCCATAGCGTAGACAAAGCCAGGGACATTGGCAACTGGTACCACTCACATTTTTCATTCAGAATTTGACTAGAGTACAATTGAATGCACACTTGACTCCATGCCAACGCTCCTCATATTCTTCTGGAAAAAGAATAATACATAGACTTGTAGCTGAGATAAAAAGAGATGGTAAGAATGTCAAAACACGAAATTGAAAATAAAAAATGAACTGACCTTCTCAATGCGTTTGTGCCGCAAGCAAGTGCACACCAAGAACTGTTGTTTTTTGAATTCTATCACAACCAGGGCTATGTATAAGTCACATTCTGAAGTTTTATGAGTGAGTGGCTCAAAACAGTTTTTCTTATCCACTGGGTTTGTCTGTAGCATACACAAAACCACAGACATTGCCAACTGGGACCACTTACACTACTCATTCAGAGTATGTCTTGAGTGCAGCTGAATGCACACCTGATTCTATGCCAATGCTCCTTATATTCGTCTGGGAAAAATAATACATAGACTTGTAGCTGAAATAAAAAGATATGGTCAGAATGTCAAAACATGAAAGTGAAAAAATAAAATGAACTAACCTTCTTCAATGTGTTTGTGCAGCAAGCAAGTGCACACCAAGCACTGTTATTTCTTGGATTCTATCACAACCAAGGCTATGTGCAAGTCACATTCTGAAGTTTTAGGAGTGAGTGGTTCAAAACAGTTTTTTAATCCACTGGGTTTGTCTATAGCATAGACAAAACCAGGGACATTGGCAACTGGTACCACTTACACTACTCATTCAGAATGTGACTTGTATAAAGCTGAATTCACACTTGACTCCATGCTAATGCTCCTTATATTCTTCTGGGAAAAATAATACATAGACTTGTAGCTGAGATAAAAAGAGATGGAAAGAATGTCAAAACATGAAAATTGAAAAAAAATAAAATGAACTTACCTTCTTCAATGTGTTTGTGCTGCAAGCAAGTGCAAACCAAGAACTGTTGTTTCTTGGATTCTATCACAACCAAGGCTATGTACAAGTCACATTCTGAAGTTTTATGAGTGAGTGGCTCAAAACAGTTTTTTAATCCACTGGGTTTGTCTATAGCATAGACAAAACCAGGGACATTGGCAACTGGTACCACTTACACTACTCATTCAGAATGTGACTTGAGTACAAATGGATACACATGACTCCATGCCAATGCTCCTTATATTCTTCTGGGAAAAAAATAATACATAGACTTGTAGCTGAGATAAAAAGGCATGGTAAGAATGTCAAAACATGAAATTGAAAAAATAAAATGAACTTACCCTCTTCAATGTGTTTGTGCGGCAAGCAAGTGCACACCAAGAACTGTTGTTTCTTGGATTCTATCACAACCAAGGCTATGTACAAGTCACATTCTGAAGTTTTATGAGTGAGTGGCTCAAAACAGTTTTTTAATCCACTGGGTTTGTCTATAGCATAGACAAAACCAGGGACATTGACAACTGGTACCACTTACACTATTCATTCAGAATGTGACTTGAGTACAACTGGATGCACATATGACTCCATGCCAATGCTCCTCATATTCTTTTGGGAAAAAAATAATACATAGACTTGTAGCTGAGATAAAAAGAGATGATAAGAATGTCAAAACATGAAAATTAAAAGAATAAAATGAACTTACCTTCTTCAATGTGTTTTTGCTGCAAGGAAGTGCACACGAAGCACTGTTGTTTCTTGGATTCTATCACAACCAAGGCTATGTACAAATCACATTCTGAAGTTTTATGAGTGAGTGGCTCAAAACAGTTTTTTAATCCACTGGGTTTGTCTATAGTATAGACAAAACCAGGGACATTGGCAACTGGTACCACTTACACTAATCATTCAGAATGTGACTTGAACGAAGCTGAATTCACACTTGACTCCATGCCAATGCTCCTTATATTCTTCTGGAAAAAAAATAATAATAGACTTGTAGCTGAGATAAAAAAGCATCGTAAGAATGTCAAAACATGAAAATTGAAAAAATAAAATGAACTTACCTTCTTCAATGTGTTTATGCGGCAAGCAAGTGCACACGAAGCATTGTTGTTTCTTGGATTCTATCACAACCAAGGCTATGTACAAGTCACATTCTGAAGTTTTAGGAGTGAGTGGCTCAAAACAGTTTTTAATCCACTGGGTTTGTCTATAGCATAGACAAAACCAGGGACATTGGCAATTGGTACCACTTACATTATTCATTCAGAATGTGACTTGCATGTATCAGCAATGTCACTTCAGTTCTTATCTGCATTGTGCATGCTCCATAGATTCTAATGTAAATAGAAATTAACTGAGACTTGCAGATACAGCATACTGTATAGGGGGAAAATAACTCGCGGTGTTAATATTCGCTATATTCACGGTGATAATAAATCCGCGAATTCAAGAAACAGTGAATAATTTTTCAATAATCTCCACGTTTTATTTGGAAATTTGAGAATAAACTACGACAGGTTTAAAAACATGTACCACAGTACATGGTCATTTCAGTAATTACGAGTAGTGCTTCACATTCAATTAGTTTAATTAGCAGGCTTACATCAACAGTTAATTATCTGTATTTGATAAAATGCTTTTTAATAGCCAACGCTACATGTTTCATCAATCAAAACACGTGGGCCATGAGTTTTGATTACCAGTGCGTAACAAATGTTACCACGCACGATTATCATGCATATCATAGTTTTTATCGACATTTTGATTTTTAAAAAAAAATCATTCAAATAAGTATCGAACTAACTGAAGATTTGGGAGGATATTATTTCCATAATTACCTTCATTAACACAGTTATTACCGTCCAGTGGTTTTTTTCGCCGCGTTGTTTTGAAAATCTTAGGATGTACAAGCACTCATTGTAACAGCATACAGAAAAGTCATTTGACGTTTATAGTCAAGGATATTTTGTAACTGTACCTGATTTAATTAATCGTCATTATTTATGAAGTCTATTTTGTATTAAACTACCTTGCTGTTCCTGAAATTAAGACATAACGCTGATTAATGTCGTTAACATGTAGCTATGGTATGGATTAAACGGATAAAGACAAGGGAGGTGACTTCTATAAAATAAGAATTCCGCGAATTAAAGAAACAGCGATCCTGTACGATGAGAGAAAACCGTGAAAATTACAACCCGTGAAATTAATCCCCTATACAGTATATAAAAACATATGAAGGGGAGAATGAAAATTTTCCCTTTTTTCAGTGTATTGTGTCTGTCCTGCAACATGTGAACATCAAGCACTGCTGTACCCTTGGCTTTTATTACTACCACGACTATATACAAGTCACATTCTGAAGTTTCATGAGTGAGTGGCTCAAAACAGTTTTTTAATCCACTGGGTTTGTCTATAGCATAGACAAAACCAGGGACATTGGCAACTGGTACCACTTGCACTACTCATTCAGAATGTGACTTGAGTACAACTGGATGCACACATGACTCCATGCCAATGCTCCTTATATTCTTCTGGGATAAAAAATAATACATAGACTTGTAGCTGAAATAAAAAGGGATGGAAAGAATGTCAAAACATGAAAATTGAGAAAAGAAAATGAACTTACCTTCTTCAATGTGTTTTTGCTGCAAGCAAGAGCACACGAAGCACTGTTGTTTCTTGGATACTAAGTCACATTCTGAAGTTTTATGAGTGAGTGGCTCAAACAGCTTTTTAATCATCAATCGGGTTTTTCCGTAGCATAGACAAAACCAGGGACATTGGCAACTGGTACCATCCATATTTTTCATTCAGAATTTGACTAGAGTACAATTGAATGCACACATGACTCAATGCCAGTGCTCCTTATGTGCTTCTGGAAAAAGAATAATACATAGACTTGTAGCTGAAATAGAAAGAGATGGTAAGAATGTCAAAACATGAAATTGAAAATATAAAATGAGCTGACCTTCTGAATGCTTTTCTGCTGCAAGCAAGTGCTCACCAAGAACTGTTGTTTCTTGAATTCTATCACAACCAGGGCTATGTATAAGTCACATTCTGAAGTTTTATGAGTGAGTGGCTCAAAACAGTTTTTCTTATCCACTGGGTTTGTCTGTAGCATACACAAAACCACAGACATTGGCAACTGGGACCACATACACTACTCATTCAGAGTATGTCTTGAGTGCAGCTGAATGCACACCTGATTCCATGCCAATGCTCCTTATATTCTTCTGGGGAAAATAATACATAGACTTGTAGCTGAAATAAAAAGATATGGTCAGAATGTCAAAACATGAAAGTGAAAAAATAAAATGAACTAACCTTCTTCAATGTGTTTGTGCAGCAAGCAAGTGCACACCAAGCACTGTTATTTCTTGGATTCTATCACAACCAAGGCTATGTGCAAGTCACATTCTGAAGTTTTAGGAGTGAGTGGTTCAAAACAGTTTTTTAATCCACTGGGTTTGTCTATAGCATAGACAAAACCAGGGACATTGGCAACTGGTACCACTTACACTACTCATTCAGAATGTGACTTGTATAAAGCTGAATTCACACTTGACTCCATGCTAATGCTCCTTATATTCTTCTGGGAAAAATAATACATAAACTTGTAGCTGAAATAAAAAGAGATGGAAAGAATGTCAAAACATGAAAATTGAAAAAATAAAATGAACTTACCTTCTTCAATGTGTTTGTGCAGCAAGCAAGTGCGCACCAAGGAATGTTGTTTCTTGGATTCTATCACAACCAAGGCTATGTACAAGTCACATTCTGAAGTTTTAGGAGTGAGTAGCTCAAAACAGTTTTTTATTCCACTGGGTTTGTCTATAGCATGGACAAAACCAGGGACATTGGCAACTGGTACCACTTACACTACTCATTCAGAATGTGACTTGAGTATAAATGGATACACATGACTCCATGCCAATGCTCCTTATATTCTTCTGGAAAAAAATAATACATAGACTTGTACCTCAGATAAAATGGCATTGTAAGAATGTCAAAACATGAAATTGAAAAAATAAAATGAACTAACCTTCTTCAATGTGTTTGTACGGGAAGCAAAGTGCACATCAAGCACTGTTGTTTCTTGAATTCTATCACAACTAAGGCTATGTACAAGTCACATTATGAAGTTTTATGAGTGAGTGGCTCAAAACAGTTTTTAATCCACTGGGTTTGTCTATAGCATAAACAAAACCAGGGACATTGGCAACTGGTACCACTTACACTACTCATTCAGAATGTTACTTGAGTACAACTGGATGCACACTTGACTCCATGCCAATGCTCCTTATATTCTTCTGGGAAAAAAATAATACTTAGACTTGTGGCTGAGATAAAAAGGGATGGTAAGAATGTCAAAACATGAAAGTTGAAAAAAGAAAATGAACTAACCTTCTTCAATGTGTTTTTGCTGCAAGGAAGTGCACACGAAGCACTGTTGTTTCTTGGATTCTATCACAACCAAGGCTATGTACAAGTCACATTCTGAAGTTTTATGAGTGAGTGGCTCAAAACAGTTTTTTAATCCACTGGGTTTGTCTATAGTAGAGACAAAACCAGGGACATTGGCAACTGGTAACACTTACACTAATCATTCAGAATGTGACTTGAACGAAGCTGAATTCACACTTGACTCCATGCCAGTTCTCCTTATATTCTTCTGGAAAAAATAATAATAGACTTGTAGCTGAGATAAAAAAGCATCGTAAGAATGTCAAAACATGAAAATTGAAAAAATAAAATGAACTTACCTTCTTCAATGTGTTTATGCGGCAAGCAAGTGCACACGAAGCATTGTTGTTTCTTGGATTCTATCACAACCAAGGCTATGTACAAGTCACATTCTGAAGTTTTAGGAGTGAGTGGCTCAAAACAGTTTTTAATCCACTGGGTTTGTCTATAGCATAGACAAAACCAGGGACATTGGCAATTGGTACCACTTACATTATTCATTCAGAATGTGACTTGCATGTATCAGCAATGTCACTTCAGTTCTTATCTGCATTGTGCATGCTCCATAGATTCTAATGTAAATAGAAATTAACTGAGACTTGCAGATACAGCATATATAAAAACATATGAAGGGGAAAGAAAATTTTCCCTTTTTTCAGTGTATTGTGTCTGTCCTGCAACATGTGGATATCAAGCACTGCTGTATCCTTGGCTTTTATTACAACCAAGACTATATACAAGTCACATTCTGAAGTTTTATGAGTGAGTGGCTCAAAACAGTATTTTTTAATCCACTGGGTTTGTCTATAGAGTTTGAAAATTTTGGAACTTAATAACAATACAGTTTTAAAACTAAAACACAGTTTTCTGCTTGTAAAGAAAATGCTTGCAATACCAGGGGTCCTGAGTCAACACGCCGAAGTTGGTTCAACGGCATCGTATTGACTCTTAACCCCTGTCATTGCGAAGATGGTAAACAAAATTCAATACGATACATTTTCACGTGTTACTTAGCTCTAAAATCGTAAATTTAAACTCTGGACATTGCCATTAAACGCAAGAAAATCTCTATACCTGATTTTTGTTTCTTTTTTCCCAATACACGTCTTTTTTTAATCTCTCCTATTTTCGTGCATCCAAATCATCCGCGGCCTACAACTCGTGTGAAGTCATGGTAACCATATCCGGGTTCCTTGTAATTGTAAGGCTCAAAGCAGATACGGTGTAAAATCCGGGAATTAAAAATATATTAGAGGTAGGGAGGGGTGTTTAACATCTTCAAATTAAAAAAGAATGAAAACTTAGACTAAATTGCTCTGAACAATTTACGGTATAACTTTCGAAATGCTGTTTTGCTTTGAAAATTACAAGTAATGTCTGTATTTATACTGTATTAGGCCTATACTTGAACAGAACATTTTGTCCTACACCTGTTAAATCTAATACATAGTTAGACAATAATTATATAGGCCTAGTTAGCGATCTGCATTTTGACTAAGATAATTTCCTTGTTGGTACCTTTTCTGTCCAAGTCAACCACCTAACGACTATGATGTTAGCCTTTGAACCTTATAAGATCTACAGTACTATAAAAAGATATCTCTCTTGTTTCATGTCTATTTTTTCAAAATAAATATTTTAATGAAGTTGAAGCCAACATCAAACATATTTATATGGAACAAACCTCTATGGATGTTTTCTTCTTTGTGTATTTTGCAAGTTCTTACTCTGCTCTTTTTCACAATCCACAAACTTTCGCGCTGTGTAACTCTTTGGTTACCACGTTGAATGCTTCCTTGGTAACCCATTTTCATTCGGAAGTTTTAATTGGCGGATCTAACTTTTTACCTAAACGGTAAATATTTTTTGTCTGTTGAGTTAACTACAAAGTGGAAACTAAAAGGTATGTAATTCTATAGATGTATTTAAATTTGATCGTTCCAATTTTAAACCATTTTAGTTGGTGAGAGGGATGAGGCACAGTCAAGGTTAGTAAAATTTCTTGAAACTAATAAAATGATCAGTCGACAATCAAGAACGTTGTTTAAAAGAAAATTCCCTTTAATAAGCTTTGATTTCTAGTGTGTATTATATCAGAGATATTAAAGGAAAACACTTATTCATGTCTCTGGTATAATACTTGAACCGTAATCAATGACGAAGTGTTGAAATATTTGTAACATTTTTTTCTACGATAAGTGCCTCCTGCAACATCATTCATGGGGGACATGGAATGTGATATGGGATGTATCACAACAGAAAGATCAAAGAAAAAGGCCACAAATCTGCAGTGTCAAGCAGCCCTATAGCTGAAACTGAGAGACCCTTAGCTTTAGTTAGTTTATCTTCTTAAACAGACAACATACATACATGTATACTGTATACAATACAATATAAAAGACACTTATTCAGTACAATACAGTACAATATATCTTTATTTTATCAATTAATCAAGTAATCATCATTGCCATTTTCTTTATTCAGCTACAGTCCTGTTTCACACTGCATGGATTACAGATCTGTGACAGTTTGATATAACGTTGCATATCAACGCCTGGCTACCAGCCATACTTCGTTGTGCCTCATGTTGTAGGGTTCTGAAGGACCATTGTACCCAGCAGAGAGGAAGGCATTGTTATCATATAAATATCTGTTATTAATGTCACTCTTCAGTTCTCTGACTTTAGCAAGCTTTGTTCTGTAATTCGAGTATCCACCATAAGATCTTGAACAAAAAAATATTAAAAATTTATTAAATTAGTTTGAATGGAATTTCCCCCCACAAATACATATCATGGTAATATAGATTTGTATTCTTGGTGTATTACGGAAAATTGGAGGAAACTCATCAACTATTTCTCTTCCTGAAACAATCATACAGAAGTAATAAATGAACAGGATACATTTAAAGACCTTTGACACCGACTCTCCAATTTGAGGAGATAATCCATCAGCTGCTACAGAGACTGGGTATGTCTTTATCATTTATTTTAAAGTAGTGCTGATTTAATTATTACATTTTCAATTAAAAATAAAATTTGTGTGTCATATTTCATAAAAACATAGGTCCACTTCATTTTTGATGTTGCCCTTTTCACTTCCCATTTTCCTTTGTTCAATTTAAAAGCAATTCAATCTCACGATTTAGGCTTGTAAGTTTTATCGTACTTACTTAACGTAGACGTCCATTTGAGGAAGCATCTTGAGGTAAACTGTGGGGTCGTTTGGTTGAGGGGCGTATCGCTTCATGTTATGGGGGACCATAAACAACATTTCCTTCATGGTCCATTGGTTATTATACATCCCTCTCTCAGGGGTATATGTACTGAGCACGGGAGCAGTCATTGGAATCTTCAACCCTGCAGAAAATTGTTCATGTTACGAATTTAAACAAATGAAATGTTTCGGCTGTTTTGTGACTTGCTGATTTTTTTTTCTCGTATTTTATAATTATGTACCTCTTTCATTGTTCCCGGAAATATAGGAGAACAACTTAGAGAAAGCCGAGTCTCTCCGGGAAGAGGACATCACATTCCGTGTCCCGACCCACAGCGACGGCTCGTACCTCCTCAGCTCATATCCCTAATTAAACAAAAGAAAATATTTCTAGTTATTTATTCGGGTATTCATAAATTATTTGATATTGATACTTAACTTGCGCCAACTTTTCATAATGTGCACAGTTTGAATAAATTGTGAACGTAAAATTACAATTATGAAATATACATGTAATACAAGTAGTATGCTAAAATAATGGTTGAAGCATAAAACACTTTAGATCACTTCCACAAATATATTTCTATGTAATTTTCGATAAAATTGAAAGCACAAATAATGTGTAAATGCTTAACAGAAGTAAAAAAAATATATAGAATCGAGGAAAAAAGTAACACGCCAAAAAAAAAAGAATAAAATAAAATGAATAAATATACACGTGTAAATAAAATGCTTGCTCTCACGGATGTGTTACAAAATTAGGGCCATGCAGGGAACTTACATTATATCTTTCTATGACTCTATACTTTGGACAGTCGAGCTCTCTCTCACAAGGCTGAGGGTATCTGGGTGTGACCAGGACAAGAAGAGATGCCAGTACAGTCAGTCGAAACATTGTGTTAGCTGATTATAAATTTATGGAAACAGAATTCAATGAATGAAAAATTTAAAAGAGATGTATCGAAAATGAATTAAAATAAATTGTATTTGATGATATTCTTTCAGAAATTGTGGAGATAATTTATATGATTTAAGAGTTTATGAGGCGCCGTTTTGGTATTTACTGCCAAAAGGCGATGTCACCTATTTGATTTGGTGATATCGCTTTTTGGCAGTAAATACCTAAATAGCGCCTCATAAGACTTCCAGTGTTAGAAGGGCCTCTATGTAGCTTGTATTATCATGATTATGGTTATAAATTGTGTTTTTCATAAATTTTGCACTATATTTGGTACTATCATTGTCAGTCAAGAGAATTAAAAAAAAAATACCAATGGGAAAAATGCATTGTAAGATACATGTATACATTATGTATTACATTAACTGTAAACAAAACAATACATTTGAATGTCCATAGGTTCTTATGAGGTTTTTTATGTACATAATTTTATGATATGAAATTAAGGTGAATCAGAGAAAGTGAGTCTATCAAACATGAAAGCTCCATTTCTTTATTATTCTGGATCAACTTTCTATCATTATAAGAATACGCTTTGTTTACTGTTTACTCAACAAAAAAAATAATACACATCTGATTGATATAAGAATTCTATTTTATTCTAACATTTCTTTGGAAATAACATTATTTTTATTTTGGTACATGCGGATAGTTTGGAGCATCATTATACAAAATGAAAACAAACATCCTTACCTTTTACGTTTAGAAAGACCTCGGTGCTTATAAACTTCGTTTTCAATTTTCTTTTTATATAGACAACGTTTGATATTTTGTTTTATAACAGCAAACGTGCAAGACACGTGCAAGATCATTTTCAGTACAAACTTTTAAGTTATTAATCATTCAAGATTAATGATGGTCTTTTATTGCATTCATTACCCTTATTAATTAAATGTTCAATTGGAGATTTTTTTAATGAGTTTACTCTACATGGATATATGTAGAATTTATTTAATTCTGAGCCCATCCTTGCAAATAAAATGGATCAGTTTTTTTTTAATTGTGTTCCTTAAGACCACTGATAAACTCTCTGTCTCTCTCTTAAAAATATTACAGCAATGCAGCTATGATTTATTTGGATGTTAAGATCAAGATGTGGACCACTTTTATTTAATAAAAGTAATTTGAATACATGTACATATATAACATTTCAGGTAAAAAACTATTTCCATTTCTAATTGGCCGATATCCATGTAGTTCTAAGTGTGATACACATGTATATTTGTAACAAAACTGAAAGTCTTGCGAATATTTTTTAAAGAAAAAAAACAGATAAATTGTCTGAAGAAAATAGTGGAATTATTCTCGGTGACTGTTAGGACCCATGTGTCTCATGAATTTCACGATTACGCAAAACATCAATAAAATTAACATTCTGACATTTTTCCCCAATTGCAGTAAAACAGATGGTTGACATGGACTATGATTACATGAGGAATGGGCAACAATTTACATTTACGGCAAATTCGCTGTTCGTACATAAATGAAAGTGAATGTACATTTTTATGGACTTTACGGGAATTGAGGTGGTGGAGCACTTAAACAAGGGCGGGCGGGGCCAAAGGGAGTTATGGTATAACATTTTATTGCAAAAACTCAAAAGCTTCTCGGGACATTGTCTGGAAACGAGTGTGTTGCACAAACATAATTTATGAATTTACGACCGTGACCTTTTAACATCAAAGGTAGCAAGGCCAGTCTAGATCAAGTATGAGGTATTAATCATTTTTGCCTGTTTTAGTATGTACATGTATATTCTTTTTAATAGCCCAAAACATATTCTGTGAGATTCTTGTAAATTGCAGATTTTACAAACATGTTATAAGAAATTGCTATAATTTGAAATATATTTTCTTGCTTTCTTATTCGTCCCATATTGGACATCATACTTGCCATTTTCGCCCATCTTCTAGAGATCTCAAGTCATTCGCAACTACATATTTACTGTAATGTAGGCATCCAAATTCTTGAAGATAAACCAAAAATTCCAGGTATAGGTGTCATGTTGTAAATTTTGAATTTACCGGGTGGCAGTAAATACATAATTTACTCATGTTGTAAATTTTGTATTTACTGCCACCCGGTAAATTCAAAATTTACATGACATAGGACAATTTACCCCCCCCCCCCTTTTTTTTTTAAATAAATCTTAAATAAAAAATTTTAAAAACTGTTCGTGTCCAAAATTAAGCTCCTTGTGTCTTTCCAAATCCCATTAAAATGTGTATCAAAAGTCATCGTCAGTTAATATTTATCACTTTACATGCTATGTATATATTTTTTTTTTATTTTGTCAATTGAAATTTTCTTGAGTAGTGTCTGAGAAAACGCAATCTAATTGGAGAAAACGTTACTCGTGACAAAGATGCATAAATAAACTTTGCATTTAAAATATATATAAACTCAAGTTCTACTTGTGTATTTTATTTTTGAAACTTTTTATTGCACACATGTGAACAGAATGTAAAGAGAACGCATCTCTGATAAAAAAAAAAAAAGTCAACATTCTTCTACTTTTTCCCCTTCTTGGCAGGAACAGACTTTTCACCACCTAAAAAATATAATGTCTTAAATAGTCATTCATATACATAAGTACATTAACTACATATGAACAATTAATTTATTTATTAAAAAAAAAGGAGAAAATGCCAAGATTCAATAAATAAGTTTGACAGATTTTTGAATTCTCTTTAATAAGAACTTACATTGAAAAACCGGACTTCAGTGACATGAGTTTGAAGTTGTTTTTTTTTTAAATCAATATCAAAGATACATTTTATGAGCAAAAATAATTATTGATGAATTAAAATTATACCTTCTGACTTTCGTTTTGGTGCTCCTGGTAACAATGCCTTTACTTCACTCTCAATGTTCTTTTGGTCATCTTTGTTCAGTTTGTCGAATCCTTCCACTATACTTTTCATTGGCTCTCCTGCTTTTATGCCTTCTAAATATTCCTTCTGACATTTCTTCAGACAGTTTAAGTGATACCATGCCACGGCGCCATAGTTAGCCTTTCCAGTAAAACCCACCCTTAGGGTGTTTTTGCTGATTTTGCTGGAACATCCTTTGCATTCTGATTTGTCCGATTTTGCATACTCGGCAGCCATTTTCAGGGACGGCGGCTTGGGCTCAGATTCTTTCTTCACTGCCGTTTCGCACTGTTTCTTCAGATCTTTTTGTAGTTTTGTTTGGTCTTCCTTTTTCAGATTTTTGAATCCATCCACAATTTTTTCCAAACTTTTAGAAGTATTTATCGGTGCCAAATACGATGTTTCATTCCATATGCATTCGTAATGGTACCATGCCGTGGCTCCAAAGTTGGCCTTTCCCGGGAATCCAACACGGAGCGCGCCTTTTTCTATGGCTTTCGAACATCCTTTACAATTCGATTTCGCAGACGGAGCATATTCTGCTGCCATATCACTCTTGGGTTTTGGTTCCGCCTTGCTGGCTTTCTCAGCGGCTTGTTTGCAGTATTTTGGTAAATCACCATCAAGCCTCTTCTTATCGTCGTCCTTTAATTCGTCGTAATTTTGGACCAGAAGCTTCGCGCCCTTTTTGGCGTCGATAGATTTTAGGTTTTCCTCGTCTCTCCAGATGCAGTCGTAATGGTACCATGCAGTAGCACCGAAGTTTGCTTTACCCACAAATCCTACACGCAGTTCACCCTTGTTGATGGATTTTCCGCATCCTTTGCAGCCTGCTTTCCCTGATTTGGCGTATTCTGCGCTCAAAGGTTCGGAAGCCATCTTTTGGTTTGACTTCTCTTACTTTCGATTTATGTTTGGCATATGCACGTTTTACCGGTGCATACTGACTACTACTACGGTATCCCATCTTTGACATAGAAGTTCGCAAAACAGCATATACATCCATACATGGACTTATGTCTTTACGTTACATCCAATAGATAACCAACTTAATTAAATGAGACTGAGAAAAATAATTACGTGTGTAAAAAATTTGCGAGTACATTCACATACACGTATACTAAGTAACCTTTATATCCCCATCCGTCTTTTTTTATACAAGCACATACTATATATTTACATTAACTTCCAGTGCCCGTGCATCCATCTGTCAGTCCGTCAAATTTCTTGTCATACATCTCTCTATTTACATCTTAACTGAGTAGGGGGTTCCTGTCTGGTTTCTGACAAATTCAATTAAGTGCATGCATTATAAGACTAGTATTTGAAGTCTTATTGTAATCAAATAATACACAGAGGGGATTTACATAATTCTGGGGTTCAATCCGACTTCTCATATGGCGCACCAATTTAGTGGGTTTTTTTTCAAATCGTTTTAAATCGTTTGTCAGTTGCGTTTAATCTATTAATCAATTGTTTTTCTTTATTTGAAACTATAGGATTAAACCTTATATTTCTAACTCCTCCAACGAAATTTCCAGGGTCTGCATTTTATGCTGTGTAAAAAAAAAACTGAATGAATCCATTTTGTAAAAAAGATTTTTTATCGATCACTGTTCATTTTCATTATAATTACAAAAAAGTAAGATTTATGTATAAGATGACATTTATGGCGACTGTGTGCACTGGAAAAAAAATCACTAAAAAAAAATCTAAAATACTAGGTATTTCATCGCACTAGCTGTAAGGTATCTACAAAATAAGTAAGCATATCAGTGGCGTAGCATCGTTTTTGAAAGTGGGGGGGCCACCCAGAGAAAAATTTTTTTAGTTGACAAGCAAAAAAAAAAAAAAAGAAAGAAAGAAAAAAAAAAGGTGAGGAAAATCCTATTTCACTTCTTTTCAGTGTCAACTACTTTTAGTACCAATTATTATACTACATTTTCGGTACATTTCTAAAAGTGGGGGGGCCAAACAGACTTTGAATTACATGTAACATTTCCTATAGTGTAAAATAAGTAACGCCCCTGCATATTAACGTAATTATAATGTGGAGGATGTTAAAATTGACTACTAATGGTTTTTAATACTGTAGATTTTTAATTTTAATTCATTTTTTATCAATGGTTTGTCGCTGCATTACATTGGAAATGGAACTCTTTAGTGTGTTGTGTGGAGAACGTCCTTAATCATTACTGTATGTACTGTGCTAGTGCTTAACCTTTTACCTCTTAGCACTGCTCCATATATATTTTTTTCATTTTTATCTTGTTTTTTGTGTAAATCTAACAGACCTTTAGAAAATGTAAAAGTACTAAATAAAATATGAAAAGAAACAAGCCACGAACGAGTTGCCGTATCTACAATAAACCGGAAGTTGTTGTTGCAAAGTTTACGTTTACTCGTGTAACAAAACCTGAAATATTTAAATTTCAAGTTCAGCACGTACTGTCTCGTATCTTGGTATGATTTTTTAATGTACTTCAAAGTAATTTTACAGAGTGTTCAAAATTTACATATTGATTAAAACGCAGGCATCTGAATTATATCAATATTTGATTTCCAGAGAGACCATAGATTTAACACAAAACAAAAAATCCCACCCCTTCTCCATGTTCACTGGCTTCATATCAGCTCTGGCGTTCTGACTGCACATTTTTAAATTCAGAAAATGGATGGAATTTGTTATGAAGAGCTATATTTACAGTTTACAATCAGATAAAATAGAAATAAAACAGAATTTTAAATTTAAAAGCATTGTATAATCTTGATATGTGATTTAAGTGACTGGCACACATATTGAAGGCAGACCCTAGGTCCTTTTTTTTGCCATGACTTTCAAAGTTGATTTTATTTCAGATTTAAACTGCAGGCTTCAAAATTGGACTTCTAAGAGTATTGCAAAGCCCCCTCCTGAGTACAATTAATACATTTTGTCAAACCCAGCGATCTTTCCTCAGTCGGGGTATTTACAGCATGACAAAATATAATGTGATATTTGTACTAGGAGGACCGGGAGCAGGGAAGGGAACACAGTGTGAATATATTGTCAGGGTAAGTTCTTACTCTAGTAATAAATACACAGCATGAATATATTGTCAGGGTAAGTTCTTAGTTCAGTTGTATAGAAGAGTGTGAACATATTGTTATATATAGTCAATTTTTAGTTCAGCTTTGCTAAATGCTGTTTCTGAGATTTAGTTATTGTAAGTTGAGTCAGAGTAAAAGTTATTGACTTTATTAACTTTAGCTAACATTGCAGTCATCTTTTTGTCGATAAAGTCATTGCTGGAAACAAGATATTGATATTCTAAGATTCCTATCCTTTTTGGGATATATTTTTGTAAATGCTTGGATTCAGGAGGTTTTATAAACATGTTAAAAAGCTTTTAACTTTGATGTTTGTTTTTTCCAGGACTTTGGTTATGTGCATTTATCAGCAGGTGACCTTTTGAGGGAGGAGAGACAACGTCCAGGGTCACAGTTCGGGGAGGAGATAGAAGGCCACATAAAAAACGGTACCATAGTCCCTGTCCAGATCACCTGCTCTCTACTGAAAAGAGTGAGTATAGTGTGTGTTATATTAAAAGTACATTTAAAATCTTACAACAATTATTTTGTAATTTGTGTTTTATTTACAAGGCAAATGCTCTTTTAAGGAAAATTTGAAAATTGAATTAAAAAAAAAAAATTCAAGAAAGCACATACTTAAAAAGTTTATAAGTATTTGTTTTGACACATGTATATATAATGTACCACTTTTTATATCAAATCTTAGGCCATGGAAAAAAGTGGCAAGGACAGATTTTTAATTGATGGGTTTCCAAGGAACCGTGACAACTTAGATGGCTGGAATAAGGAAATGAGTGATGTTGCCAAAGTTATACGAGTGCTGTTTTTTAACTGTTCAGAACAGGTGTGTAATATTCTTTTGAAAAAAATTTCTTTTTTTTTTAAACATTACTCTAATATTAAAAGATCCTTTAAAATCATTATAAATAGATCAATATATTGGATGTGTAATGAATATAGTGATTATGCACATAATAGGTTTATGTACGATTATTGATAGGTTGTTTATATGTCTAAAATTAATTACTTGGTATCTACAAAACAATGTGTACAGTCAATTCTAGTTATCTTAAGAGAAAAATTTGAGTTCTACAAGAATATAAGAGGTTAAAATTGGTTAAGCCTTTGAACTCAAACATATCCATGATATTCAAGACATTGATGTTAGAGAAACCAAAAGTTCATTGTATGCAAAAATGAATTAAGCTAAAACATACAAAATGGTGCCTTCTAGCTTGAATGAACCCTATTAATATTAAATTGTAGGAATGAGTAGTAAAGATTTAGTTACACTCGAGGTATTATGGTACTCTACCAGGATTGAGATATTGAATAATGGGAAATCACAATAGACTAGTTTGATTTTTTTCTTGTTTATATCTCAATAACTACTTCAGTCTCTTGTACTAACTGTTAGGTTTGTGTTGAGAGGTGTTTGTCTCGAGGGAAGACCAGCGGCAGAACAGATGACAATGAAGAGAGTCTGAAGAAGAGGTAATGAAGGAATTGGGGTGATAAAATTTTATTCAAAAATTTCCAAAATATTTCTAATTACACTCTCAAGCTTTTGTCTGAATGTTAAGAAAAAGCTAAGAAGAAATCACAATATTCATCACTTTCATGTTTTTTCTATGTTCATTGTAAAATTAGTCACCAGATGTCCTTGTGGATGCCAAGTTTTCCACAATGAAGGCTATTTTACACATGTTACCTATATGCTCAGTAATAGTTTGTTGTTTTTTTTCAGAATAAAGACTTACACTGAATCCACAATGGAGATCATAGAACAATTTAGAAAGTTGAACTTAGTTAGTGAAATACATGCTGAAAAAAGCCCAGAAGAGGTAAGTGTTTAAAGAAAGTACTAGTGTAAAATAGCGAAAAAATCACGAGAAAATTTCCTACAACATAGCAAGCTGCAAAGAACAATTTTGATGAGTAAGGGGTCGGGGGTACCTGCATAAAATCAGAATATCTGCTGTCTGTCAATATGAGAAACTAATATGTGGAACAGATATTGTTAAAACAAAACATTTTTTATAAAGTCAATGGAAAACAGGGCTTGAAAGTGTTAGAAAAAAACTGTACCCAAAGAGCGACAGGTTTGTTTTATTTTCTGAGTTAGGAGTAACATGTGAAAACGTAATTAGTATAGATGTAAGAAAGAAAATTAAGGACAATAAATGCATTTATTTTCTTACAGGTGTTTGAGGAAGTTAAGAAAGTTCTGAATGAATTAAATTGATCTCCACACTGAGTTAGTACTGTGACTGCACACAACTCTGCTCTTGGTATTCTGCCATGCTCGCCTCAGGAATTTTGTGACACAACTAAAAATCTTTTCATGCTTGTATTAATGATTTTCTAAATTATGTACATGCTTCTTTTAAGAGCTAGATCATAAAATTGATTTATTGAGAAATTTTTAAAAACAATTTTACAACTGTCTTGATTAATTTTTTTTTTCATTTTTTTTTTAATATTAATCAATTGATTATTGCTAGGGTAGGTGTAATTTACTGTTTGTTTTAGTGCGGAGGCTGTTAAAAAAACTCTTTAAATATCTCTTTGTTTTTTTAAATGTATTTTTTGTATTTGTTAATTTGTGGGAAAAATTTAAGTACAATTTCTAGGGTTACTGTGTATTTCAATAAAAAAAAAAAAAAAAACATATTTAGAATATATAAGAAAAATAAGAATCTGTCGTTCTGCTGCATGTAGTGAAACAAATCAAGGTGTTGTGCATTATCACAGAATTTTGTAGTCCCGAAACATTTTCTTAATTTTTATAAAACATTAGCCTATTTAATCCAGATATTTTCAAACCTGGTGATTTTTTAAGCCCATTGACTTGTTAAGGCAAGTTTTATTGATGGTTAAATTTAAAATGACCAATACTTGGGAGCCTTTCATCTATGTGCAATTCATTGCTACCAAATAAGGATAATGCTTTATGTTTTTGTATTACAGTTGTAGAATTTGTTGTAGATTTATAATCAGTGAGCAAATTTTGTAAGTTACATGTTAAGTTATTTTTTTTTATTGAATATACATGTACAATTATCAAATCACTTTTTTTATGATTGAATGTTTAATAGAATGTAATAGACATATACTTTTTCACGACAAATAAAATTTAAAACAACTCACTATTTTAATTAAGTAACATGCTTAGGCATTCAGTTCTGAATGAACCTATTTTACTTGAGCAGTAATTGATAACATGTATTACAATAACTATGTACCAGATATATATAAACCAAAGTGAGCCTCATATTTTTTATTATTAAATCATATTGAATTGCTGTGCAATGTCAAAGAACCACTAAGCTTTATTGCACAGCAGAGGTTTTTATATTTTTAGCAGGATTTGATATTTGAGGGAAATAAATGTGATTTCAAGCAATTGGACAGTCTTGTTATCTTTTGTTTACAGCTTCACATACACAGCTTAGAGGTTTCTTATGGTCATTTTGAACCCCGATTTCCAAGCAATATCTTGAGCATTCTTTGTTTGACAATTTTCACACTTTATACACAGGTTAAATATATTGATTTCAGGTCACTAGGTTTTCTTGTACACATACAAGTTTGCCAAAATCAAATTATTTCCCAGAATATCTTAAGAATCGTGTGACAGTAAATGCATTTATTGTTGTTTTGTATACAGTCACTGATGACAATATGCACCTATCCTCACTGAACATTCATGTATTGTGGACCAAATATTATGGCCATCCAAAAATTATAATTGTACAGATTGTTGCTGGCAACATTATGTTTTTCCCCTTAATACTGCTTGTTACCCAACAATTTTTTTTGGGGGGGGGGGGGGGCACCTCAACATAGTGAAGTTGAAGTTATGCTATACTGTCAGTGTCTCAGTTAAAGTTTTAGGTGCAGGTCCATTCCCAAGTAACTTTAAGCCCTACCTGGACCAATTAACTTGCATGGATGATGCATCTAGGAATGGACACTACTAGAATTGCTTTGGATGCTGGATCTGACCTACATTTTCCAAATGAGTGACCAGGTTTTAGTTTTTTGAGCAGGTCTATTCCCAAGTAATTATTTGCCCAACCAGGACCAAACTTGCATGGATGACCCATCCAGGGATGGACAAAACTTGCTTTGGATGCTGGATCTGACCTACATTTTTCAGATGAGTGGTCAGGTTATAGATTTTGGAGCAGTTCCATTTCTAAGTAACTACATGTATATGCCCTATCTTGACCAAACTTACATCGTTTATACCTCTATTGATCCAGATTTTAAAACTTATAACCGACATTTTCTTAGATAGTAAACAAGTTATAGTTTTTGGAGCAAATCCATTTCTAAATAACTGGCCCATTGAAACCAAAATTGCTTGGATATTGAACTTGGAATGCACACTTAGTAGAAAAAATATGATGTGATATTTGCCTTACTTATAAATGACATTCATCGAGGTGAGCTTTAAAATCTTTGATAACCTATGTTTTTTGTGATTTTTCTTTCCCTCACTGGAGCCTTCATGCGAGCTTTTCTGATGGAAATTTGTTCTTTGTCCGTCGTCATCATTGTCAGTTAACTTTTCACATTTTTATCTTCTGGACCAATATCAACCAAACTTGCCACAAAGTATCTTTGGGTGAAGGGATCAGATTTGCTCAAATGAAGGGCAATGCTTTCTCCAAGTCTCAAGAACCACTGGACTATAAAAATATGAAATTATGTGGAATCATGATAGTTAGTGTAGATTAAAATTTGTTCAAATCATGACCCTTGGGGGTAGGATGGGACCACAATGGGCAATCAAAGTTTATCTTGGGAAAATCCTTTAAAAATGGCATAGCCATGATTGGTCATTTTCATCTGGAAGCATCCTCAGGTAGTGTTGATTTAAAGTTTATTCAAATCATGACCCTTGGGGAAGGGCATGGTCTTTCATTTGAATAAACTTGAATCTCTCTTTCCCAACGATACTTTGTAACAAGTTTGGTAAAACTGGCTTACTGGCCAGTTCCTGAAAATTTAAGAAGTTAAAAATGTGAAAATTTTTAAGACAGATCAAAGCCAGACAAATCTAAAAACTTAACGTTATTCAAGGATTGATATATCAAGGGTATAGTTTTGAGACAATTGCATTGTGTATACTGTTCAGATTTTTCTTTTACATGCATTTTGTATTCAGTTAAATCATTTATCTAAAAGAGTGAAATGATTAAATGTCATAAACCCTTAAATCCAAAATAGCAATTCTATTTTTTTTTTTCAAAAAGAGCATATTTTTTTTTACCTACAAAGTTGAAAAACAATTTTGGATTACTGTATTCCAGAAATGTTTTAAATAGGTGTGGTTCATGTAACCTAGCACTCTCTATATCCTGAATACAGAATTGAATCCTCTTCAATTATATATTTAATTCATAAGAAGCAAATATCTTTTTCTGTCTTTCTAGCACTAAATGAAAATTTCAAGTCAATAACTGGACAATCTGTCTTGCTCTTTCATTCTTCACTTGGTCTAACTCTGTAAAAAAGAAAAAGAAAATTACTGGTAAATGAATTGTTAAACTTAATCACACAAGTTAAGTTTATTTTACTCCCATAATATTTGATAAAAGATAACTATGCCTCATTTACTTATCAATCTTCCTTCCAGCACCATGTAAGTATTGTATTTTAAATGAGTTATCAAAAAAAAAAAAAAGAAGAAAAGAAAAAAAAGAACAATTTAGTGCAAGAATAAAATACAGTCAATCTTGTATTCAGTGTAAGAGAAAAATACAGTCAAACCTGCACTAAAAGATCTATCAAGGATAATTCTGAAATGATCACATTTGGCAGGTAACCTTTGAAGCTGAAGACTATTAATATTTACTTCTAATTTGCTTCTTTCTATTGATACTTTATCAAAAACTTTGGAATACAAGTATTGCATTTTGAGTGCATCTTTTAAAATGTCTTACTGCAAAATGTTAAGGACAAGGAAAAAACTTTAGAACAGAAAATGATGATGGCATGATGCATTTGACAGAGGGTTGTTGAATGCAGATAAAATATATTGAAAAATTTTCGGAAGGAAAATTGACTGTAGCATATGACAGGAATGGCTCAATACAGATGGTTAGTTTGACAGATTTCCTATAATATTAAATTTTGACGATACTGGTAAATGTATTTTGATATTCCTAGTCTTATTGATTGGTTGATTAATTATATGTCACTTTACTTCCTGTTCGAGGACTTCTCACTCATAGAGAAGCCACTGCACTGGTGAAAGGCTTCAAATCTAGACCTATACTCGGCACTAAGGGCCATTAAGCAGTGAGGATCTTTATTGTGTCTGAATGCCTGCCATGACACAGGCCTCAGGTTTTAAAATCTCATCCAAAAGACCTGCAACTTTCCATTCAAAGTGCTGAGAGCTTGGCCTAGGAACAGCTGTTTTCAATTTCTTATCGACTTAGGTCGGTTGCTACTAGGGTTTGAACCTACCACCTACATGTCCTGGAGTGACTGCTCTACCAACTGAGCTAAAATAATGGGCTCTAGTCTTTTTGGAGAATATATACATTTAATAGTATGCAAGAATTAAAAAGAACTTGACCATCTTTGTCTCCATCCTCCTCTATGATTTTTTCTGCTTGTTCCACAGTGACCTCCCTTGACCTTCCTTTCATTCCATCCAGGTATGACAACAGCACTGCAAAGTCCTCATTGATTACCTATAAATAGACCACTAAAGATTTTGTAAAATTCGAGTTGTTCCAAGGGATTTTACAAGCATATTTTATTTTTATTTTATTAAATCAAATTGAAAATACATTGTATTTGGAAAAGATGGAGTCACAAGGAATATATACATGTGTAATATTTTTATAATACGTAATATCGCGACCACCAATAAGTACCTCGCAGTTATCTAACTTACTACTGCTCTTTTGCGGGGGAGTCGAGAAAGGTATAAATTTCTGGGGCACATTACATTGTTTACAGTAGTGACAATCCACTGATTCAAACAATTTAATGCCAAAATCAAAATGTTTTGCAAGATATTGAATTCCAAATAGTAGATTGTCAAACAAGGAAAGTTTTGAATATTTTATCTGCTTTAAAATGTGACAATTTTCAATGAAAAATTAAAGAGAAGAGTAAGCTTAATTAAAAATATTCGTTACAAATGTAACAATTTAGGATTGGCTCCTCTCAAAAATTTATCACGCTGGTTCAGCGATTGTTCAGCAAGGTATTCCACCAGGATTTTTTACTTATCTGTCATTATAAATGCTACAATGATCGATCTTCCATTGTATTAAATAGCACATAACACCTAACAGACGTTTCCTACCTCCATCGCGAAAGAGTTCCACTAAGTTAAGTAATCGCGATATCAAGTATTGGTAATTTATAAACTTGTCAATTCATCAGAAGAACTGTAATATACCTTATTTTCACTGTACATATGTTTCAACAGCCACACTTGTCTGACTTTTTGGAATTTCCAGCTTTCCCTGTTGTTTGCCCACTGATGCAGGTATTCAGATGCCAGTTTTTCAGCCTTTTGCTCCGTGTCTGATGTGGCCTCATCTGTCTGGTCAGTTTCTTTATTCTTCTGTTTCTTCTTTTTCTTCTTGCTCTTTTTACTCTCTGTGGGTTGTTTCTTTTCCTTTTCACTGCTCTCTCCTCCTTCACTTGACACTGTCTGGTTTTCCTCATCCACTGCCTCTTCCTCCATATTTTGAAGCTTTCTCTTCTTTTTCTTCTTTGATTTAGGTTCTTCACTTTGATTAGGTTCTATATTTCCCCCACTATCACTCTCAACAAGTTCATTTTCTGCTTCATTCACTGACTTTCTTTTCCTTTTCTTTTTGCTTTTTGTCCTTGTCAGGTTTTTGTCTAATTCATCTCCTTCCATCCTTTCTCCTGTGACAATTTCTGATCCCCTCTTGGATTTTATTGCATTGTTTTTCTTTTGTTTGATTTCTTTACCACTGTCATCTTCCTCTGATCCCATGTTTTCCTTCATTTCAATCGTACTTTCGAGACTAGTTTCTTTTTGTGTGAATTTTGATTTCTTTGATTTTTTGTCCTTCGTTGTTTGACCCTTTTTATCTTCTTTTGCTATTTCAGATGACATACTCTCTGCAATTTCTTTAGTCTCTGATTCTGTTTCATCTTTTCTTGTCTTCTTTTGTTTCTTTTTTGATAACTGGTCCGATTTTTGTTTGCCAGATGACACTACATCCAACACATTTTTACTTTCATTCTCATCATTAAATTGCAAGGCTTCATTTGCAATTGGTCCAGGATCTCCTGTCTTTCTCTTTCTTGGTTTATGAGTTTTACTGTCATTTTCAGGTAATGTTTCAGTGTCTTTTGTTTCTATACTGGCTGCCTCAAGCACTGGTTTGGTGCTTCTGCTTTTCTCTTTTCCTTTCTTTTTTGACTTCATTGAATTGAAATCACAACTTGAAAATTCCTTTCAGGAATATACTCTTTAAGAAGATAAAAGAGTCCAATTCCTTAAATGTTTAATGGTTGTCAGCATATAGATTCATGTCACAGTGATCAAGTATTGTGCATTTTGTTCCCACTCATTATTTATAACCTAGCTGTTTATAACCTATGATGTAAAAAGTAAAAAAAATTAGACTGAGGCAATAACCAATAAAAGTTATTATTTAAAGAAACTCGAAATAATGCAGAAAAGAGCATCATAAACAATACAGAAAATAAGAGTATTGACAACCTGACTCGGAGTACAGTACTCGTCAAAGAGAACATTAAGGCACAGGGTCTTGTCAGGAAATACTTATCTGTTTTTAATATATTTACCCCTACTATAAAAATATTTATCTTCTTTTAATATAGTTACCCCTACTACTAGGAAGATAAACAGCTAATAAATATTTCGTGACAAGCCCCTGTGATTAAGGCTGAATTGCGACGTGATCATGCTTTAAAAATCGAGATGCAGAATTTTCATTAAATTAGTTTTATAGTCTTAATCTTGCCAGTTGCTTACCATGTGAATTTTTTACCTCAGCACTAAATAACCAGTCAGCCCAACAACGTACACGTGCTTTGATCAAATTGATGTAAACACTTATTTTTGTTAAGTGTATATCGATCCCGATGCATATACTGAAAAGTTCTAGCTAATGGCCATAGACTGTTTCGGTTTTTAAAATGAATAATAAATCTATTGTGCAGGAAAAAGTAAAATTAAAATTTTAATTTAAATCTTTTAAACCTTGTAATAGATTGATTAATTAACAAAATATCTGAATTATAAAAAATAAATTATAAGGAAATTTTGAAAAATACAAGTTTAATTAAATGAATACTGTAAATGTATTATATTTAGCGTGTACGATATTTGGCGGAAATTGGATTTTGAACAAGTTAGCATGGATTTGATTTAGCGCAATATTTTAAATGTTCTTCTTTATAGGTATATGTGCCAGACATTTAGCGTTGTACGTACTTGAATTAGTGGATATTGCTTTCCGCCAAAAACGCTAAAAAGAATACACAGCCAAATGTTATATGTTTACAGTATACAAATGAAAAAAAGAAACAAAAAATACCTCACCTAGTAATAATAATACCAGTTCGGTTTATGGTGCAGTCATTTTAGGTTTACCATTAAAAAAAAGGCAAATACCAGGGATAAACAAACTGCATGTTGGTTTAGAAAACTGTTAAAGGCTCACATATAAATTAGCATAAGGCAAAAAAAAAAAGGTTTAGGCCCTCCCTCGTCTCTTGGTGCTTTTTAGTCATTTTAGGAAATTTTTACCATTAAAAAAGGGCATGAACTGTTTTGTTTACATTTTCTTATTGGTAATTTATTTTTAAGAAAAATATTTTTGCAAATGGTAAACTAAAAAACTGCAAAAATGTTGGTATAAACATCAAATCACCTTCCTCATCATTTTTTAGGTTTTGAAAACATGTTAAAGGCTTACATAAAAATTAGCATAACTGTGGTAAAACTACATGTTTATTAAATTTTCTTGAATGGAAATGCCAAAAAATGCATTTAATTGTCTGAATCACACAGTTGCCATCAAACAACCAGGGACATTTACATGTATACATCCTGATAATAGTCTCTTTAAACAGTTTATTTCATCATCTCTGCTTTCTTTTACACACAAGAAAGAATGTTGTATTACATGTATATTTATTAAATAATAGACTATTACAATAAAAACAAACAGTTTTATTGACAAACATAAACCATATAGTACTGGACATACATAAACAAAATCTTGAAAATAAGTCAACTTTCATAGTCAAAACAAGTATCACAGGCATCATACAGCAGAAATTCTATAAGTTTTGCACCCTACAGATCAGGCCAGGGCCATGGATTCCTGTCTAATTGGTGGGATAACAGGAAGTGACCCCATCTGTCTTTGTTGTTGTTGTTGCTGCTGTTTCTTTATGGCATCCCAGGCAATTTTACGAGCAGTCTTTCCATCCATTTGGGTCTCTAGAAATTCTGAGATTTTCTGTAATGCCGTATTCATCTCCTCCTGTAGTTCTATGACCTTGTCCGTGTTCTGCATTGACTCACTCTCCAATTTCCCAAGCTCTGATTGGTTGTACAGGCCTCGGTATTTGAAGTACTCCATCATGGCAGCATGCATTCTCTTCTGTAAGGATTGTAACTGCAAGAAAAAAGTAACACATGGTGATAAGGTAATATTTTTTAAACATTGTTACCTTTAAAATGTGATTTTAAACCCATTCAGTATTCAGCAACATTTTAGAAGTGTTTAGATCATATACCTGTCTGCAGTCCTTGATGGCAGCCTCTAGTTTGACTCTGTCATCAAAGTTATTGAGGAGTTTATCCTTCAGAGTGAGGTACTCGTTCTGAGCTTGTCTGTACTTGGAGGCTAATTCTTTATTGACAGCCAACTTATGTGCCATTTCAAGCTGTCAATAAATAAAATATATTTGAATTAAATAACAGACCAGCTAAATAAAAAAATAAATTCATTTAAAGCATACTCAAAGCATAATCTGTAACATCAATGTCTGACATTTTTTGACTGAATGGTGATTTAAATCAAAACTACCTCTGTTTTCTTTAGGAATTTTGCCCTCTCATCCTTGAATTTTCTGTGATTCTGTTCATTGATTTTGTATCTATCTGTAATGATACATGCAAGACCACATATAGATAAAGGGTATTCGGTATATTTTGGCTGAACTGTTCAAATCATAATTGATTCAATGTATAAGTGATTATGACAGAAGTATGTACCTAGAGACTGATTATAAGTGTTCCTCAGTCCCTCCTCTATCTTCTTAGCAGACTCCAACTGAAGAGTCAACTCCTCCAATACTTCTCTGTAATCAACAAAAAGAGTTACTCAATTCCTCAGTATTCTTTAAGTGTGATAAAAAGTAATTAGATGGCTGCATATGAATGTGTCAACTATGAATCTGTCTTTTTTCCTGTGTAAAAGAAGAATTGGAAAATCCATCCCTCTTTTTTTTTTTAAAGAACATCTGAACCCTTTCAACATTTTAATTTGAAAGATTTTGAGTCTATTGTGACAAAATGTGAGGAAACTTTCTTTATATGTTGATTTATTGGCCAATGTGCTTGAAAATAAAGATTAAAAAAAAATGATCTTATCCCTATCTACCTTTGAAGACTTTTGGACAAAAAGTATATAATTGCTTTGAGCAATGCTCTGTGCAAAGTTTGACCAATAGTTAAAGACATCCAAGAGATATCAAAAGTGCAAAATGTTTACAATGCAGATATCTAGAAATAGGCAAAAAAAAGATGATTTATACTGACGTTAATTCATCGATGGCCTTCTGGGTATTACTGGTCAGCCTCTCCATGGTTCCTGCCTCGCGGTCCCAGTCATCCATCTGTCTCTCCATCTGTTCCGTCTTCCACTCCATGTGATCCAGACGCTTGTCTAGGGCTAGCACATTTTCCTGTTGACAAAGATAAAACATTTACAATTTACAAATACTCTCAAAGAACTTGAATAGAAAGAAAGGATTAAGGTCAAAAGTGAAAAATTTGATAATCTGACAGTTAAAAGAAATAAAACGATTCGCTGAAATAAAATCCTCATCAAAGAAATATAAGATGTTTAAAAATGGTTGACAAACCTTGAGTTGCTTGTGATGAGGTTCAATGTTTCCCAGCTTCTCTTTAAATCTCTGTTTAGATTCTTCTTCCTGTTTCTCTGTCTCCTTTAGTTGATCTTGTAGGGTGGACTTTTTCTGTTTACAAAGGGAACAAAATGTTATAAATATCTGAATTTGGTGATAACCACAGTTATGATAAGGCTGTCTGAAGGCTTAAAATGCCTTAAAATATACATTCTATCTTGTGGTAGATTTTAATTTCAATATGTAATCCTTGTTTGAATTACAATCAATTTGACATCATAGTTTAATCAGGTATCAAAATAAAGCATTTTCGTGATGTCACATGGCTGTGTTGATCACGTGACGGATATTTATGATATTTCTAAATGTTGCACAAAAATCACTTCGGCACAAGTGCAAAACAAGAATATTGTGCAAAGTTTGTTACATAGATAAATTCAGCGCGATCTCTGGTACATAGAAAGTGCTGGGGGCAGGTTTAATTATTACTCATTAAGAAAATATTTTATGAGAAATTCAAATTACCACTATAAGAGGGGGTATTTTCCACTCTTTATCGCGATTTATACAAAAATGGATGAACTACACACAATCCCCCAGCAAAATTCAGTTAGAGGACATACTTCTCTTGTAGATTCACACAGAATATCTTCAATCTATGCATGTTTATCACTTGTGCCAGTCCAATATAAACAAGTTTGTTAAATTCTAACTCTGTCTACGGACGTGTAAGGGGAGCGTTTCACGCATAATTTTTCTCTTTTGTTTGAATATGTGCATATCGGACAAGCAAAAGGAATAGGAATATTTAAATTTCAAATATTCAACTTCATAACTGAACATTGGAGCTTAAAAACAATCCTAACAATTGAAATAATCAAAAAGGCCCCAAAATAAATCTACATGCGATGTACAAATTATGACACTTTCCCCGTCATGTTAGCTCAAGTATGCAGTGACTTGACGTCATGTTCTATTATGACGTCATATCAAGGTAGTTCAGAGAAGTTACTACAGTCTGCATTGTTTGATATTTTACGGACAGCCTTATTCTAGCTGCGACATAGATAAAATATCAAAATTTTATGCCTTTCATAATACAATTGAAAAAGGTCATATGACATCAATAAGGCTAGGGGATAGAAAACACAACTGTTGGATACAAATCATTCCCAACACAATAAATCAAGGAAGATCCTACATTTATGGTGAGGAATCTAACAAACAATTTACCTTTAGTCTATCTCGTTTAGCAGATCTCAATTTTTCTACTTTTGTCTTGACCTCATTCACCACATTGACAACATCATCAGCAACTTTCTTGGCCTGAAAAATATACAACATTTATATGCATAAAATAATGACCATCACAGTATACTTATTTACTCCAAGTCAGTCATTTAAAAAAAAAAAAAAAATTGAAAGCTTTACTACCTCTGATGACTAAAAGTTTATAATATTGAACCTACACTATTTATTGTATTTACAAGATGAAATAAAGATGACATTCGTGTAACCTAATGATGCTGTAAAAGTTTCATTGTATAAAGAAACATTTAATCTTTAATCATACTGTACCTTCTGATTTTTGACCTGTGTGTCAGTTTTGTATTTGGATAAATCAGTTGTGTCGTTAGAGATCCTGGCCACCAGGACAGTTCTGGTGTGAACCTCATCCTTGACCTGCCTTCTCAGTGTGTCTGCTGTACCCTGTTAAAACAAACCAAACTTTTTAAAAAAAATTTCCAGTAAATCTTGGATCCTTATCTGTACTTTTCCCCCTTGTTTCTTTACAACTAACGATCTTCAATATAAAAGTGTGGCAATAATTTAAATGAAGCTATGTAAGAATGTAGAAATTTAATGAGAAATTTTCTCCTCAATTTAAACAGAAGCAGATACATGTACATGTATTGATCAGTCTTGTGGTAGCACTCTCTCCCCCTACCTTCAAACTCTCTTCCATCTTGAATGCCTTTTCCTCCTCGGTCTGTAGCTGCTCTCGGATGGACTGGTTGATGGCCAGGACTTTGTTATATTCCTCCATTGTGACAGCCATCTGCTGACCTAGCTTCATCATCTCCTTCTTAATACGAGTGATGTTCTTCTCATCAGCCACCTTCTGTCTTTGACTGAAATCAGCAAGGGAAGTTTTATACTTAAACCATATGCAATTTTTTTTTAATGCTTCTCACTATATTTTTTTTAATTCAATTTTTCAACAACAAAAAAATGTTAGTGAATAGAAACCATTTTATTCTGTATAAATATTCCTTACCAATCAGAAATTTTGTCGTAAAAATCTTGAACTTCCATTTCAGCTTCTTGATTTTTCAACAATATTGTCCTCAGCTTGCCATCCTTGGCTTTCACTTTGTTTTCCAGATCTCGGATTCTGCTATCATTCTTCTGTTTCTGTTTATAATCATATGGTTTGAATTAAACAAATGCACCAATATTTAAACCCATTGCTAATCAGAAATGATGCCTATAATAGTTTCCTTTTCTAAGACCCCAAAAGCACAATGCTTCAACAAAAGTTAAAGGCATTTCATACCTTTGCCACAAGCTCCTGTTGTAGCTGAATGTTTTCATTTTCCAGCCTGTTATGTTCAAATTCAGCTTCAGCAATTTTGGTCTGGATTTCTCTCACCTACAGCAAAATGACACCATAAAAAAGAGTGAGCAAACCTTTTCTTACACTTAAGACACGAGTGAGAACAACGGTTCTCTCCTAACAACCAATACATGGGATAAGTTAATCAAGAATCATGTTTACTTTTGCGGCTTGCATTTCCTCGGCTACTTTGGCGTTCTCGTTCTTGACGTCCAGAACTTTAAGTTCCTCGTCATTATCCTTTAGCTGCTGCTGCATGTCGTTCACCTGGTGGATGTAGGCATTAAAGGTCATTTTAGCCTGGGAGTACTCCTCACTGAAATTAAAAAAATGACATTTTCAGTTACAGGTACAATATTATATACTTTTTCATAATTGAGAATAGCACTAAAATAAATTTTAAAAAATTTCTGAAGACAAATTAATCACAATTTCATTCAGTATTACAAGTGGTTTATAATTTTTTCATCCCACCAGACCTATAGTCTTGGCTTTTACCATACCTGATGGCAGACAGTGCATCCCTAACAGTGTCCAGTTCCTTCTTGATATGACCCCTCTCAGACTGGGCTTTCTTCTCTGCTTCTTGTGATTTGGACTTGGTCTTCTCCTGTCTCTCCTTGGTATTATCTAACTCTGTTGTTGTCTAAATTATAAAATGATACTGACTTAACTTAAGTTTTACTCAGAAAAGAAAATATTTTTTAGTATTAAAGAAGTCTGAACTAATAAATCTGTGAATTCATATATATGTATACCACACCTCCAAGAATGTACTGCAGTACTGTACTTACTGAGGATTGTGCATTTTTTATTTTCTCCATGGCAAGCTTTTCCAATTCTAACTTTTCTTCTACTAAAGGTCTAGAAGGAAAGATGCATTAAGATTTTACTCAGTTTTTATATCTTAAATGTATGGTATATTGTACTAGAATATTCAAAACTAGCCATTTCACTGTTATAATCATAGCATTTACTTACATATGCTTTTTCACAAAAGCAATGTCATCTTTTAGTCTTTTATTAAGCAGTTCTGCAGCACTTGTTTTGTTTTTAACTCTCTGTTCATTTCTGCCTCCATAATTACAATGCCAGGTGAGTTCATTCAAATCCATAATACAAGCTTCATGCTCTGAAAAAAAGTAATAATGCATGTAATTGGAATTTATTCTCATCAGAATCTCAAACTGTTTTATGTTGGATGAAAACATGTACAACAAAAAGACTTGTTATCATATAACATATATATGTATATAACTGTCAGTTTTTGATTAATGTTACTTATAAGCGCAGTACTTTAAAGAAAATGAATCCTGTGGAAGTTAATTCTAATTACCTCTTTGAACAATAGCGGGAAGTTCTGTCATCCTACGCAGACAGAGATTGTCGATTTTATTACTGAGCCGCTCTACTCTCTCCTCCTCGTTCCTAAGGAATTTTTCCGTTTCTATTTTGTCATTTTCTAGTCGAGCTAGCAGCGTTATCACTTCCTCAATCACATCTTCAGCACCAAGATAGGGAATCTCCAATCCTCCTTCTGGTTTTTCTTCTGTGTCTAATAAAAGTATGGCAATAAACTAAAACAGTACACTCTGAAAAAATCCTGACTTTTAGCACTTGAATGTACTTAAACTAATAAAGGGTGTATCACTATGTGCTGTTAAATGTGTACTATTCAGAGTTGAACCATTTTAAAAATATTCTCTATTATACAAATATTTCTACCTGTAATGTAACAATTAGATAATGCAGACGAAGATACATGCTTTCTCTATATTTGAAAGCAATGCCTCATAAATAAGACAACACAGCCTTAAAGTTTTTTACTGACTGTACTTTCCTTACCCTTGACAGCTCCCACTCCATGAATGGACAGAGGAGTAGAGGGAAGACTCGATCGATCGGTGGATCCAGACTTACGAGATAATGCACTCGTACCACGCTTGTCTCCACTTCCCTTCCTCACATCATCCTCTGACGACTTGGAAAACCTTAGCTGTTTTTTGCTGCCCACTGAAATACAAAAATACCTTTAATTTGGAATTTTCTTTAAACAGTGAAAGCTGTCTAATCCAATATACACTTGGGTGAAAAGTTGTTTTAGAAAAAACAGGATTTTTGATTGTACAGAAGAATTTAAAGTGGGGATGAAAATATAGGTTAAAATTTACAATGAAACAGATTGCACAGATGCCAGCTTTGAAAAGTTTTACTTTAATTTTTATGTAAAATCATTTTGTATAGACTATGCAATTCTGGATTTAGTCTGCAATGTAAGAGCTACAATATTGTAAACAAATGTATTTTGTTAAACTTTGAAATAAACATATTCAGTGAAACATTTTCTGCAATAAATAATGCATTCCTGTTTTCTTCTTCATTTTAATGTCTAAAAAGATAAAAATAGTTTTAAACAAGCAAATAAATTTTCAAAATTAAGACAAAACCAAAATATATTGAATATGCTACAAAATATACCTGGTCTCATTGGTAGAACTTGCTCTTTACATTCTTCCTCTCGCTCTTTGAACCATTCCTCAATGATTCCCTGAATCAATTCCAAGTGAGAGACTGCCTTGTTCACGCATGGTGTTGTGTTGTTTGTTAATTCACAACTTTTCCTCCTGAAAATCTGTGGTATCTTGGGCCAGTCTTGTGGCAATGGGTAGACTTTATCTGAATACAAAATTGTCAGTTCTTCAAACTGAGCATTTAAAAATTATCTGATGTCTACTGTCCTAGGAACTCACTGACACATTTAATGACTAGAATTGGGGTGCCAGATAATTTACATCACAAATAAAAATTCATGAATGCATAACTTATTCAGTAAAGCTAAATGATAAGTGTATTACATGCATTTTATAAATTCTAAAGACTTTTTGATTTCTGTAAAACACATACCTTGGATTTCTTCTGCTTCATTATCTGGTTCATCCAGCTCAGTTGTATTTAGGTATTCTGCATCTACAAGGTTAAAGGTGTTTTAAATGTTAATTTTTTTTCTGGAAAAAAAAATACCGGTAATTTTCCGCATTTTAAAGTTTTTTAGTTAAACATACTAATTAATACGGAAGTCAATGAAGATGAATGTTGCTTCAAAATAACTGTATCTGGAATGTAAAATCCCAGTTTGCTATAAGAATTAATTCATTATAAGCTAACTTGTTGGCTTATGATCAGTGTATCTGTAATATTTTCTTACTTTGAGAGAGATGCTCTTCTGAACCTCCTTTAGGGAAATCTTCAGTATTGGACCTCTCAATATCCTCAACACGTACAACTTTTACAGTTGACATATTTGACAGGAATAATCCAAGTTATTGCTTACCACCTGTAATAATTTCAGAGAAAAAAGTTATTAGTGCAATCACCACATACTGTATGTGTACATAAATTGATGTATTTAAAATCTAGCACAAATTTAACACAAATACTTGGTGTAGGGACGTTTGCATAATCATGAATTAGCGCTACTCCTTTCTGTGTTCATCCTCACATGCCAGGGGTCCTGAGTCAACGTTGCTGTATTTCATTCAATATCCATGGGCTTGCTTCTCTTACTGAGAAGCATTAATCAAATTAAAGCTTTCAAAAATAGTCAGATAAGGATTCAGCTGGCACCTAAAATGCACATGTTACAAGTTGTTTATCATAGAATGGCTTAATGTAATTGCTTGAGAGATAAGAAAAACAATCAAGTTTTGCAAATTTTCCGAAAGATGTTTCTAAAATCAGCCCACAAATATTGAATGAAATATGCCAGGGGTAATTAACGGCAACATGTTGACTTAGGACCCCTGGCTTGCAAGGATGTTCTGTGTGGTGTATTTATAGCGAGCGCAGCGAGCTCAATAGACTAACGTGTAAGAACAGAGGAAATTTGGATTGAAATCTGTACATACGTCAGGCAAATTTTTCTCCGAAACATTCCCAGAATTCCTTTACTACCCAATGTCCTTTGCGCGAACAAATAAATAATAACGTAAAGCATAAAAGGCTTTCATTTTGTAGAAATCTCTCGAAGAAACAAAAAATAAATCTGCAATGTTTTTCAACCAAAATTGCACAAGGTCTTTAGTTTCAAATTTCAATCAGATGCTCGGCTGTCTCCGTAAGCTCCGACGAGCTCCGTGACGTCGTTTGACGTCACAGCTAGTCGAGATGTCTCGTGCGGTTTGATGTTTGAAGTGGTTGATCAATTTTTCAAGTGTTTTTGATGGTACAACTATGCTCACCCCAACGGTCACGCCGTAAAACATATTAAAGAATCCCGAGCGGTTTTCATGAATTAGCTCATCGCTATCCACACCAAAGCTGCTAAAATATGAAGCCCACTATAATAAGTACACATACAGTAATTACATGTAACTATTGTCCACAAAATAAGATTCTTGCAGCCACTATTTGTTTTTGGTGTGGACATCATGTAATCTAATCTTAAAAGTAACAAGTGTAACATAACATAAATAAATGATGTTTTATGATATGTAGCTTATTTCTTTGCCAATAAGAAATGACACTCCAGGTCTGACAACAAAAAGCTACAGCATCATGAGTATGACGCCATCATATCATAAAATATGCTATTAAAAGGGTTTTTATTTTTAAAATATTTTATCCATGCACAACTGTACTTGGGTAAATACAAAAGATATATATGGACTGTCATTTTGAATTAAAATACATTTCTTTTACCACGTACTTTACATTATTTCCAAACTAAAAATTCATTAATTTCATTGTTTATGCCATCTTGTCCTCCATATTTTAGTTTCCAAGCAGTTTTAGTATCGTTGAATTTCATTGGACTGCTGCTAAAAATGGAGTACAGTTGCGAGAGAGAAAATAGGTGATTATTCCAGAATGTAGATAAATGATTGAAAAAAGCTACATGGATTGGATGTCAGTTAAAATGATTTTAAAATTTTTCTTTTTTAAAAATAAAAACAAAACGATGATAAAATATTTCTGTATTTCTGTGATTTAATCATCAAAGTATTTTTCATATTTCGAACATTCCGTTTTTATCCGGTTATGACTGTCTCGTTCTGAACGATTAATTTCCAAAATGGCGCTTGATGTTGATAAAAAAAATCTTTTGTACTGAATGTTTATAAATTTGATAAATATGAAATCTCTTAAATAATGCAGACAGATAAGCAAGTAAAGAAGAAGTCAAGAACATGGGCTGAAGCAGCTAAACTTGTAAGATGAAAATCCCCCATATATTGATTACATTAGGCGTATGCCAATTTTTTTAATGTCAGGTGGATGAATGCTATAATTGGTCAATGTAGGTGCGTGGTGGATGTGCCAGTTAGTCAAATCATAATTATGCATAATTCTCATGTTATCGAAAAATTTAGATATATGCATGATATTGATTTTGTGCATCGCTTCAGTAATTTGGTTTGCAATGATACTTGTTTATCATTGGTAGGAAGAAATTATTGTTCCTGGACAAAAATGAAATATTTTGTATTGCATACACATTTTGCATGAAGTAATATATAAATTCAAAGGACAATGATGAAAATATGTCGTAATCAAATCATCATATCAATGGTACTACTAATGAAGATTTAATTTGTGTCACTTCTTTTGTAATTTGCCAAATTGTATCTTCTAATAAATATGTTGGATAATGCAACCATTATAGCAAGGGTGACTCTGATTTATTTTGTACATTTAAATTTGACAGTGTTTTATTTTGTTTTTCCTCAAACAAAAAAAAAATGTCAAAATTTTTGTTCAATTTCTTGTGGTCAAATGACTTAAAGCTCAAGATTAAGCGAGCTTAATAGACTGGCGTGTAAGAACAGGGGAAATTTGGAATGAAATCTGTACATACGTCAGGCAAATTTTCCTGTGCAACATTCCAAGAATCCCTTCGCTCCCAAGGTTCAATGTGAATTTATTTTCAAACATACAAAAGACCAAGAATAATTGTTCTATACCAAGATATGTTTACTTTTCTTTATTTCCACAAAGCTTAAACTTAACAAAAAATATTTTCATCTACTCTACACCTTATTTTATTATTAAAATATTGCACCAGACTTGTAGTCTTGTTTAACCAGGTGCTTAGCTGTCTCTGTAAATTCTGACGTTATGTGACGTCACAGTCTACACTTTGTCTCGTGCGGATTGACATTCAACTGTAAGCTGTGTATAGGACTGCGCTCGCCCCAATGGTCACACCGTAAAACATATTAATAAATTGATAATCCATACCCTATAAATAACTACTCATTAAACATTACTGTAATCATTTGAATCAGATTTTTTTTAAGTAAGTGTTTATCTTAGTTGTTGTTAGGCCATCCTTAAAAATATTTTATTTTGCGGTAACGCGCCTCATCATTTTAGGCGTGGGTAGGTAGGTAGGCTTATTTTTTTTTTTTGGAGACAAAAAGTCAGAATTAAATTTTGATTATATAGAGGTATTAACTATGTCTTAGATTTCACTTTAACTTACTTATCAAACAAGAGAATTAAGGCATTTGTCTTGAATCCAATCTTTTATTGTTCAAATATCAGAACACATCAGTTCTTTTTTAAAAACGGCGTCTACAAGTGCACACCGTAAAAATGTAATAGGATAAAATTAAAAATGGATATGTAAAAAAAAAAAAAAAAATTTGAACCTATAAAAAAAATCCAGTAGGGTGGATTTTGGTGAGTCGGTCGCAAAAAAACAATTTTTTAAGGATGGCCTTATGGTATGAAAATTTGGTGAAGGTTTGCAGGTTGTGCCACACGGCATAGCATTCCTTTATTTCATTTTTAGGCAGGCAGCAATGTGGACAGAAAGTGTGATCTTTAGATCTGTAACCGCCCCCCCCCCCCCTTCCGCTGTCCATTGTATTGAAAATTTATTGGTTAATCCAAAGTATGTCTTTCTCAGGCAGATGAAAACTTTGTTATAGTTCAGTTAGCAATCTCTCTCATTTTACATATACTTCACTTAAACCTGATAGTCCATTTATGATCTTGAGGGAAAAGTTTTCAATTGTTTGAAGTACAAAATTTGCCTCAATCAACATGGACACAGACATTTAAAGTATGCTGTATATGTATAATTTCAGGTCTTGGAGAAATATAAACAGACACCTATGAGCCATAAGGCAATACTAAAATCAATTCAAGAAGACAATTTAAAAGATATAAGGTAAATTTTCAAAGAGTTCTTATGAGGTTTGTATTCTCAGAGTACAAGAATTTGGATATTTTACTAAAATTACATGAAACTTGTGTATTTAACATGAAAATGCTATTTTTGCCTAGATTATCCAAATTCCAAGCTGCAACAAAGTATCTAGGTATAATAAGTAAAAGTATATGATAAAGTATACATCATCAGATTTCGAAGGAGCTATTGATATTGTGACTGTGTCCATCTATCCTGCTGTTTGATAAGAGTCTGTATTCAGATTGCTACTTGGATACTACTCCTGCGGTTTTAATTTAATTTCTGTAAGCTGATAACAGGCATGTATATACATAAAGGCTATTTCAGCGTAAATAATTTTAGCTTAATGAAAACATAGCAGTCGCACATCAGTCATACTACATGTACTTCTTCTGGGTGGAATTAGTTAAAATACAACTGTTTTCTTAGATTTCTTTTACTACTTCAAGTTGTTTGACTGACTGTCTTATCAGAAACCTCTAGTTTATTACAACTTTTAATTTCTCGTTATGCTCTTTGGGAGGGACAACAAATTAAAATATGTGAAAAAGTGAATTACTGGTGTTAATACATAGATTCTTACATTACAGTGGTTCCGTTCCTTTAGCTTGCCTTAATTCCTGTTTACATGCCTATTCCCGCGGTAAGGAGGCTGTATTTTACAAAGTTGAAGGAAGATCTGGTGTGTATGGATTAATGGTATGTACATGACCATGAAGATTACTTTTAAAATTAATTTCTATTGATTGCCAGAAAAATGCTTTATTTTCTACAAAATATATATAGTATTGAGAAAAGTCAGTTTTAAACTAGCATAAAAAGGACAGTCTGTAAAATTATGTTCTATATTTCTATTAACATGCATATGAAATTTTGATTTATAAAACTTTATACACTGTACATTGATTGCTTTTAAATTGAAATATACACTTATTGGTACATGTAATGTTATAAAAAAATGTATTGTTACTCTTAACAGAGCGATAGGCCAGCTGGCTCAAGTGTACAAGAGGTTACAGAGGATATAGGAGAAGAAAGTGACAAGGAAAAACCTTTTAAGGAAAGAAGAAAGGAAAATGGTAAATGCCCAGGAGGTTAAATTACTCATTTTAAAATAAAGACAAATATTCATCAGGATTAAGAGACATTATTAGTTTTTAGAAAAAATAAGATTGATCAACTCTTTCTTAAAAAACAGCTATTTTCATTTAGAAATATGCACCACAATTAAGGCCATATAAAATTGAAATCCTGGTTCTCAGGCCCGCGCGCATCCGTTTTGAGGTAGCCGCATTGCCGATTTTATTGTATTTTTGATAAAATAAAAAGTTGGTATTGTGGAGACCAATCCGGGAAAAAAAATTTCGACCTCATTTGTTTCGTAGTTTAGTATTCAAATAACACTTCCGGTAGCTATTTGCAATGAGATTTTGGCTACTTCGTTTGAAAATACATTCGAGGACATTACCTACGATGTTTAAACGCTGTTAAGCAATGGATAAAGCAGAAATTTTGACCAGAAATGAAAAGTATATCTGTGATTAAAAAAATTATCTTTATGTTAAAGAAAATTCGAAAATTAAAATTAAAAAAAATACCTCCTTCATCTACTTTATTGCCAATAAAATGATAAATAAAATGCCGCCCTCCCGCATCTGTTTTGGAGAAAATTGGCCTGAGAACCAGTTAATTAAATTTAGATAGCCTAAATAAAATGTTGAATACCAAATACACATAAAATTAATATGCATGACTAGCTAATGGCTGCCATCATTTCTTCTTCTTTATGACATCACTGTGGCTATCCAGTTACGAATAAACCATTACATGTATCTAATGTTCATTCTTTTTCTCTCAGTGATGTATGTAAAGCTACCAAAAGGCTCCAAGACAATACCCCAGACTGAATCGGATGAAGAGGAGATACTATCAGTAGTGGACGAAAAAGACCAGAGCAGTTCAGCCATGTCTTCTGAGACCCTGGACAACGGAACAAACTCCTCGACGGAGAGCACATCTCTCAGGAGGAGCATGAGGCAACAGAAAAAGAAGAGACCTGACTTCCCCAGGATTATCATTAAACCTATACCACCTCCTAAAGAAGGTAAAACAAACTAATTTATAAATTATTTCATGACTAATGTTACAATAACATAACATAACATAAGCTAAGTGGACACTAACCACAGGGGTACATGAAATAACGGACAATCCCAAGATGTAAAATATAGCAGTGAAATAGTTATAAAAATCACTGGTGGTTAAACAAAATGTTAACTTTTTATAAAATGTACAAATGAGCTTTTAGAAGCTTATTTGCAACATTCTTTCATTTTTTACTTTGCAGAAATGTTTAATCCATGTCTTTTTAATGTTAAAATAAAGCAATACCAAACTTAATTTTTGGCAGATGAAAAGGCAAAGGAAACAACAAAGGTGACTTTTACAAGGGTAGAAAATGGTGTGAACCACAGTTCTGATGACAACCAGAGTGACTCGTCTGAGAGATCTCCAGGATTGTCAGGCTTCCAGAAAACTCAAACCATGAGGGAAATGTTAGCTGGTATCCCCGGCATAAGTATGAAGGTACACAAGTGACACTCGGAATTGTGTTGTGATTTTGCTAAAATACATGTATCTGCCTTAAAAGGTCTATGTTATCATTGTTTTGAATTATGTATCTGTTCAAGTGTGATTTTAACCAATGACTGTTATTTTTATGTCCCTTTTCTCTTGAAAAAAAACGAAAACTGCAACCCAACTAATGGTTATGTAGACAACATTTAAGAAATGTTTGCATGATTATTTTTAAAAAATGCCAGAGCACTTTTGAAAATTGTAAAATTTAAGTCTGTTGGACAGTATTCAGACATCTTACTAGGGATGATTGTCGAGGCCTGTGAGTCTCATGCATACTTTATGCAGTAAGTTTTAATGAATGAATTAATTTATAGATGCATTTCATTTTTTCTTCACTAGCCAAGAAAAAGTAGAAACAGAAAGCTTAGTCATGCAGCACAGATTGCCCAAACCAAGGAGGGGTGTATAGATCTGGAGACTCCTGACTCCATTCTGGTCAACACCAACCTTCGGGTACGAGGATTTTTGATTCTTGGTGTATTTGAGTTTTTAAAAAGTGAGATATACAAGCACTTGTTCTTTGTATATAGGCTCTATTTGATACCTCCACGTTTAATGTGTTATCAGTACATTACCATCAGATGTGTCTATCTGTTTGCAGGCTCTGTTTGGTAGATCTACTTTTAATCTGTTACCTGTACATTACCAGTACAAACTTCTTCAACTCCTTCCAGAATGTGACAGAATTCTGGAAACGGAAAGCAAATTCAGGTGGGTTTCAAGCATTAAGAATATTGTGGAATGGAAAATAAATCAAAGGCCATATAAATTTCTTCCAAGTTTCAGAAATTCAGAGTTGGGTAATTCATGAAGTATGTCCAGTATGGCTCCAGGGCCATAAATACTTAGATGATACTTTTGATTTCATTTTCACCTTTACAAAAGGATTTTATTGTGGAAAATTGAGAGTTCAAAAGTGAGCTCACCAAAGTTTTATGGCTAAGAAGTCAGGCCTCAACTTTTAAATTTGAAATGAATTAAATCAGTTGATACAGTTACTGACAACTACTTTACTTCACTTGTTCAAACCGTGCTCCTGGGGGCTAGATGTTGCCATAACAAGGGATCAAATTTTTACATCAGACTAAATTAGAAAAAAAATTCTCAAGACCTGAACCTTGTAGCAAGTCAGGTGTAAATTTCTGTACACGAGCTTGAGGTTAAATAATGTGACATCAATTTGATTAGTTTCTCTTTTACAAAGTGCAAACAAAGTCACTATGTGTTGAAGTTTGTATTAGTCTTATTAGCATTGCGTTTGAAATGAAATATTTTAAAAATTAACTAAACGAGACCAAACATTAGTCTGGATTGGTCAGACATGCCCTAATGTTTAGCCTTGAATGTCTTGTTATCAAACTCTTCCCAGTGTTCTTAAAGTTAGCTTATTCATTGTTATTGTGTTTGTTTTAGGATGAGCACAACTGCTTTTAACAATGAATTCTTCAATAAGGCTTGTGAAGAATGGAGGGAGAGGTTATCAGAAGGTTTGTACACTTATACTAGGAATCAGTTATGTTTTACTGGAACAGTTTTCATCAAAGTGTTTTTTGGGGAAACTGAAATGTTATTTATTGGGGATCTTTACCTGTATATATACTGACACGCAAAAGAAACGCAACTAGCAGTAATCTACAAATGTTTGATTTTTTATCTCAATGATTTTCAAATGCGAATAAAGTAAGTCTTAACTCACTTTTCAGAACATCATAGATTTGATAAAAATCATAAATGTTTATCTGTTTACTTTACTAAGTAAAATATGATGACTGTTAAAACACCCCCCTCCCAGCCATTCAAGTTAAACGCACTAGACTGCCCTAAACAACAATTGCAGTTTAATTTCTACGATACAATAGTTTAATTAATATCGAGATCTGAGCGAGGGAATTATCCTTTGGCATTTTTAAATGCCCGTGTTTCAGATGATTAGGTCGAATTTTCTCTAATTTAGAGCAGCGTGGCGACCCTTGGACTTCGGGTACAAAAATGTCCTTAATGTATATGATACGTAAGACCCTGTTGAGGCATAATGTAGTGAAATTTCGCATCAGCAACTCTCCATCACTTGTACATTGAAATTTTCCAGCTAGAGCAATGGAATTGCGTACACAAGCCATTTTCAAGTAGCCTTAGCATCGTTACGGGAAATGAAAGGAGAGTTTATTTTTTGAAATATTGCTGCATTACTTATGATGAACAGTAAAAAAACCTTAAAACTCCATAATATTGCCAAATGTTTTGTTAAACATGCAATTTTTGATTTCTGTTAAGCAGACTCAAAATTTACTTCCGGTTATGGTATGGAAATTGTTCAACCGTTAAATTACCGATGTTTACCAAATTGAAGATATTCATAATTTTAAGATACAAAATTTTTCACTTTACATATTTTTTCTCCATAAAGTCGGGTGTTGCGTTTCTTTTGCGTGTCAGTATATGTGTACTTGTCACTTATCTAACTTTTTATTGTAAGATCTGTAAAAACACATTGACACCCCAGTAATAAACTAAGAGCAATGCCCTAGATTTCATATGCTATTAAAGAACCCCTGCAAGACCACAAAATATGCCAAATTGTCCAGTTGAACCAAGTTTTCCAAACACTTTCAATTTTAAGGTAATCAAATAAGAATTATTTTCTTTTCTTAGGTGAATTTACTCCAGAAAATCAATTACGATTGAAACAAGATGAAGAAAAGGAACAAACAAAACTAGATCCTTGGAAGGTGAGTCATAATTTAGTAATCAATTTATGATTTGTTTCATTCTGAAAAAATGGCACAAGACTGAATAAATGAAGATCAATTCTGACAATGTTATTCATTTAATAAATGACCATTATGATTTTTCAGGCCAAGCACTTTGAACCAGTGTGGGGAAAGAGGTAAATAAAAAAAATCATTTTTATTTCTGTGAGAGTCATTTGAGTTTTAGTTATGGAACAAACTCATGCACTATTAAAATTTGGTTTATTTAAATTGTAAAATGAATTGATAAAACTGGATACCTGAAATTGTATAATTTCTCTTTCAAATTTCCTAAGCAGCTTTCTTACAATATTTTCTTTGAAAACAGGTTCAGTGGTCAGGCTGTCCCAAAGGCTGATATTCCATCTCCCCCTCCCCAACCTCCTATCCCCAAAATGAAAATCAAGCCAGCACTGAAAAAATCCACAACAAAGGTGTCTACATTAATCAAACAGGAGAAGATATCACAGACTGTGTCACAACCTGTGGTTAACAGTACATATGTTAGTGAAACTTCATCTCAAAGTGGACTCTTGTTGAAAATTTCTCATGATAAATCCGAATTTGTGATGAGTCGCAGTGACAAAAGTGTGATGCGTCATCAAACATTGAAAAGATCTCTATCGGGTGATATTAAGAATGAGGATGGAGGTGAGAGTCCCTCAAAGAAAAACCGTGTAACCCCAGTACACTCTCCTCTGAAGACTGTTATTCAAGTGTGTACAGCAAATCAGATGGCAAAAATCACCAGGCCTGTGACAATAGATACCAGTCCAGGTGTGAACCAGCCAAAACAAGTCTCCCTCTTAAGCACGGCTACCTCACCTGTTCTTTCACAGATGCAACAAACTATTTACTCCGCTCCGAGATCCCAAACACACATTTCTCCCCCCAAAACATCCCAAGATATGTCATCCCAAACTAGAACTCTCGCACAAATCAAAGTCCAGACAAATGCAGTGAGAGGTGCACCTGTACAAATCGAGAGACAGACTAGAACTCTTGCCCAAATAAAAGCTGAGACCAGAGCTAAAATTCAGATGAGAAATCAAGGAAAACCACAAGAAGTAAATGCTCCCACAACTGTGAAAAAATTGACATTCCCAAGTGCAACAGTGGCAAGACAGGTCCCTAACATCCTTCATGGCCGACAGCGAAGTATCCCCAGCAAGGCACCGTCTTCTCCTCCCAATCCCAATGTTCCTGAACCTCCCGAGGAAACAAAAGACGGGATCAAATTGAAAAGATCTTTACAGATTTGTAAAGATGTGATAAAGAAAACAGGAGGACTCTCATATCAAGTCAATGCAGATGGCAAAGTTAAAATCAATACTCCTGTGTCCACTACAGAACCTGTTGCTATTTTAAAACAAGATCCAAAGCCACCAGCCCCTGCATTGTTGACTCAGAGTGCAAAAAGTGCCTCAAAAGTTGTATTTGCCAACCCTCCTGCTTCTGAAAATATGACAACTCTTCCTTCAATCTCTGGTATTCTCCCAGTTTCCTCCAGTTTACAGACTTTGGCTTCTAGTAATTCAGAAGCATCAGAACAGTTTGTTGTGCGTGTGACGAAACCCCCGACTACATTACAGCCCCAGCTAACAACAGCTAGGGTGGTAACGGTTCCAGGATCAAATGCCAAATTTCTTATTCCCTCTGGAATTCCAACCACAGCAGTTGGTAATTCTAGTATTGTACAGATTTTGAACTCTGCTCCTGGAAGCAATTTAGTGACTATGCAATCACTTCAGCCCTCAAGAGCCTCCAGTGCTCCTCCCCAGAATGAAATTAACCCAGCAAGTGTTCAAGTACAAGCTGTATCCAGATCAGCTAGTGTGGGATTAAGTAGTAACAGAGTAGAAGCCGGCTCTTCTCAGCAGCATCTCCATTACTTGCTGCAACAACAACACCAGAATCAGCAAAGGCAGAAGATTGTCCGAGTCCAACAACCAATGTCTGGTGAGCCCAGCACTTCTCAGTCAAAAGTTGCAGACTCCTCAACAACCCCTGAGGCCAGCAGTACAGAGGGTAACTCAGTCATGGTTCAACAAACACCAGTAACTGCTGCTCCTGAATCATCATCTGCTAAACCCCCACAAGCACCTGCAGCAACAGTGTCAAGGGTCATTGTCAGTAGCGCGAGTCAACTGGTCAGTCAGATGAAAAAGGAGGCACAACTGGGGAAAACTTTGACCAACCAGGCCTCAGTTGTCACAGTTCCTTCATCAACAGGAAACGGCACAACGAAAATTGTTCTGCCTACTGCAATCTTGACCAGTGCTTTGGCAGGGGGTGAAAATGCTAGCTGTGCTTGTAGTTTGAAAGCAATGATCATGTGTAAGAAATGTGGGGCATTTTGTCACCATGACTGCATTGGACCTTCTAAACTCTGTGTGACTTGTCTGATAACAACCTCATAGTGTGACTGAATGAAGCAGAAATGGTGAATATGATGCCAAACTTATGGGAGAGATGATTTTGTTTGTTTATTTTTTTTTTTTTTCACAAGGGATTTATCTGTGGATAAACATATAGTTCTATCAATCATTTTTCAGAAAAAGGTATCTAAACAGGGTGTCTTTTTACTGATATACTGTGAATCACTTTTCATTCGTGAGAATTTTTTTTACATAATTACCAGTGATTGTTTGCTCGTGAAAATTCTATTGCGGTCTATATTCCCATTATGAAAGATTATATTCAGCAATAACCAAAATTTGTGAAAAGTCTAATTCATAAATATCAAATGATAATCTCACAAAAATAAGATTGCACAAATATTGGTGATCCTTAGTAACTTTTCTAATAGATAAGTATGGCTCTCAAGGTCCTTGCTTTGAAATGATCAAAGTGATCTATTTCAAATTACCCTTAATCCAAAATTTATATGTATAACCATGACAAAAGACACTGTCATATTGAAATGCACAACTACTTCAACATTCACATAAAGTTTTCACATAAAAGTTTTTTAACTGAATCGAAAAAAAGTGTGTAAAGAAGTATGCAGCCTACATATCATCAGATTTTTTTCAACAAAAAATGTATACATTACTAGGAGTTTCAAGCAGATATCAAATGATGAAAATCTTTTTGATTCCTAGAAAAATTTGACAAAAACATAGTTTAAGCAGGCATTTTCTCATTTTTTTAAGGAGATGTTCTGCATTGCAAAAAGGTTTAGTCATTGGAGGTTGTAAATTGTACACAGAATAAGTCAATTAAATTCAAAGCTATATTGTGTATGTCCACAAAGTAGATATGCATATATTTTTAAACAAATTTTATTCACATTAGACTTATTATTTTAATTTTAAGGGAGGGGGGTGGTCTTGTGAAAGAAGGTTTTAATGCAAGTAATTTGGTATTGCAGAATGGAGTGAAATCATTTTAAATGAAGTTAAGTCATTAGAAAAAGGAACATGGTATATTTTGAATCTCATACAATATAATTTATTGAATGACAAGGTTTTATTGAAAGGGAAATTCAGAATTGTGGTAAAGTGTGTAAGACATTTTATATATACTACACTGTAGTAGTTTTATGGAATGATGAGCATCATTTTTGCGAAATGAGTCTTTGTCTTTTTCTGGCATTCTGTTCATATTGACCCTGTAAGATGAAAAAACACTGATCATGTTTCATGAAGATAATAGTCTATGTAAATATACTTCATGTGCAAGTACATGTACTAATATGCACTATTTATTTAACATTCATTCCACAGTTCTTTTGTAGAGAATAAAATATTTTAAATAAACTCTTTAAAAAAAAAACATCATGCAAATGAGTATCAATGGTACAAATTATTCTGTTCCACAATGCAATGAATATTTTTACGAAAGTCATTAAACAAAATAAGATGTTAAAATTATTTTGCAACGAGATGTTGTGAGACTGAATTGTTTGATCGAGGACTGTATTGATAACAGTTTCTGCTTGTGTGGTGGTCAAAGTGATGAATGATGTTTTAATTGTGAGAAATGTGTACTACTGAATATATTAAAAAGTTTTAAGCTACTTGTTTCTTTGTTTACTTTCTTGCCCCACCTTTATATCCCTGACAATGTTAGGCATACAATATATGGAACATTATTTTATCTTTTTTAATCTCTAACTTGCTAGAGATGGCAGATAGCTAGGGCTACAACCCTGCTTGCTTGAGGATCCAGAGGTCAAGGATAGCATATCAACAGTGTTGTTTTTAACACAGTATGTCCATTTATATTTAACTTTCTGTACAGATGGATCTGGTTTGACATTTCTGTCACAAATTATCAAAAGCAATGGATTTGACCAGGATGAATCCTATTTATTTGAGGGTCAAAAGGTCATGGGGGAAAAATGATGAGTTTATAACTGTGTTGTGCTTAGGGTACATAGTGTAAAAAATTATTTTTCAGTCCATATTCCCCAGCAGAGATAGTTATTTGATGTGAAAGGAAATTGACCAATGTAATTTTAGAGTCCAAAAGTCACGGTCAAAGACTGATGTTATGGACACAATATCCCGTTGTTTAGTGTTTAGTCACATACAGTGGCCAGAGCCTCTGGAGAAGAAAAAAACACAGTCCATGTCAAACAAGAGGCCCATGGGCCACATCGCTCACCTGAGAAGCTTTGAACTTCCGTTCTTTACCAGAATTCCCCCTTGTTATACATGTTGTGACCCCACCCTACCCAACTGATGATAATTTAAACAATTTGAAATCTACACTACCATAGGATGCTTTGATTTAACATAGTAAAACTTTGATTCCCCATTGTGGCCCCACCCTACCCCCGGGGGTGACATGATTAGAACAATTTAGAATCTACACTATCCCAGGATTCTTCCACATAAGTTTCTGCTTTTCTGGCCCAGTGGTTCTTGCAAAAAAGATTTTTCCTATATATTTCTATGTAAAACTTTGATTCCCCATTGTGGCCCCGCCCAACCCCCGGGGATCATGATTTTTACAATTTAGAATCTACACTACCCCAGGATGCTTCCACTTAAGTTTCAGCTTTTTTGGCTCAGTGGTTCTTGAGAAAAAGATTTTCAAAGATTTTTCCTATATATTGCTATGTAAAACTTTGATCCCCCATTATGGCCCTGCCCAACCCCTGGGGGTCATGACTTTGACAATTTGGAATCTACACTACCCTGGGATGCTTCCACATAAGTTTCAGCTTTTCTGGCCCAGTGGTTCTTGAGAAGAAGATTTTTAAAGATTTTTCCAATATATTTCTATGTAAAACTTTGATTCCCCAATGCGGCCCTGCCCAACCCCCGGGGGTCATGACTTTTACAATTTAGATACGATATAAAGCTTCCACATAAGTTTCAGCTTTTCTGGCCCAGTGGTTCTTGAGAAGAAGATTTCTAAAGATTTTTCCAATATATTGCTATGTAAAAGTTTGATTCCCAATTGTGGCCCCGCCCTATCCCCGGGTTGTCATGATTATAACAATTTAAAATCTACACTTCCCCAGGATGCTTCCACATAAGTTTCAGTTTTTCTGGCCCAGTGGTTCTTGAGAAGAAGATTTTAAAAGATTTTTCCTATATATTTCTATGTAAAAGTTTGATTCCCCATTGTGGCCCCGCCATATCCCCGGGGGTCATGATTTTTATAATTTAGAATCTGCACTACCTAAGAATGCTTTCACCTAAGTTTCAGCTTTTCTGGCCCAGTGGATCTTGAGAAGAAGATTTTTAAAGATTTTTCCTATATATTTCTATGTAAAAGTTTGATTCCCCGTTGTGGCCCCGCCCTATCCCCGGGGGTTATGATTTTAACAATTTAGAATCTGCACTAAAACAGCTTTTCTGGCCCACAAAATTGTGGCCCCGCCCTATCCCCGGGGGTCATGATTTTAACAATTTAGAATCTGCACTACCTAAGGGTGCTTTCACATAAGTTTCTTATTTCCTGTCCCTGTGGTTCTTTATTATAAGATTTTAAAAGATTTTTCCTATATATTTCTATGTAAAAGTTTGATTCCCCATTGTGGCCCCGCCCTATCCCCGGGGGTCATGATTTTAACAATTTAGAATCTACACTGCCAGAATGCTTCCACATAAGTTTCAGCTTTTCTGGCCCAGTGGTTCTTGAGAAGAAGATTTTTTAATGACCTCACCCTATTTTTGTCTTTTCTTGATTATCTCCCCTTGTGAGGGGACTTGGCCCTTCATTTTCATAATTTAAAGTCCCCTTTATGTAAGGATGCTTTGTACCAAGTTTGGTCAAAATTGGCCCAGTAGTTGTGCTCCTGAGCCTTGTCATGAGCTAAAAAGACAGTGTGAAGGTTTAATAAGTTGCGAGATTTTTTTTAAGAATCATCATGCTTTCTACATGCATATACTTGTTGATTGGCAGATGAGTATTGTTTTTTGGTGGGTGGGCTAAATATTTTAAAATAAAATTCAGTTTCACCCTCCACTGATATAAAGGTTTCTTTCCTGTAAAGAGACATACATCTCTATCCATACATAAACATCACGTATTTAAAAACTCTGCTATTGATTCGAAACATTTAGGATAGAAATGAAACATATGGAGATAACGAACAGTGTCAAGATCAAAAGTCCATAAAACAATACAAAATAGGAGCAGAGCAAATACAAATACCTCCAAAACATCTGATAAATTGCCGACCGGTTACACTCGCCGTGTGCTCCTTGTCATGATCGGGAAATAACGGAAAAATCCCTCGTCAATTCAGTGTATAGATAATGGACTAAGAATTAGTATGAAAAACGTCAGTCAGCAGTTGACGCAATGATAAATTGTATTTGATGACAAGGTCGACCATAGAACTAACGAAATAACTTTAAACGAGACTGATGATATTCTTGTTTCATCAATTCATTTGTCAGTAATTTACATCGTTTGAGAAGTTGTTCATACATAGACCATGCTCTTGCGTATCGAATCAACTGAGATACTAGTATATAAACTCCGTATGCAGGTGTTGAAGGTATAGTGCTGCATAAGTAAGGACTTCAATGCAATACCCAGATCCCCCCCCCCCCCCCGTTAGGATTTAAATTCCTGGATCCGCCCCTGAATACTGTGGTTCAAAGATGTTTTTTTTTTTATCATAAACAGAACAGTGGAATGTATACTATGATTATCCTAGATAGATTTTTTTTTAAAGTGTAGTTCTTAAAAAGCAAACTGTCTTTCAATACTATGGTTCCATTAAATTGGTTTTCGAGTCACTTGGTGGGAGGGAGAAGTAAGAATCTGATATGATGTTCTTTGTATAAGATCTTATATAAATTAGATATAAACAGTAGGAAAAAATATGTCACAAAATAACACGAAATTCATGTTGTAATATTAAGAGAAATTTTACATCCATTAAAAATGATTGTGGACACCCCCCTCTCTTGTCGAATATTTTCTAACTAACAACCGCACCCCCAGTGCAAGAATTTTTTTTTGCTCTGTTTCATCGATTCTATGTGTTCTTTTAGCACATACCCGGTATTTACAAATAATCTGAACAAAACATCATGAAAGAAAAGCACTCTGTCATAAAAAATACCACGAATATAAATATCATTTACAAACACATACATGTACGAGGGGTTATCAAAAAGTTCGTGGACTGAGGCTATAAAATAAGAACTATGTAGTCTGTGCATTTAAAATTTATATAGGACATAAAACAAAACAAAAAAAAAGAAATGTTGAAAAATTTAGCCTGGTACGTTCATTATTTGCCAAATTATTATAAAATGAAAACGACATTATATGATCACCCGGCGCTGTCGTCGTTTATTTTCATGACGTCCGATAACGTCATTGTTTTTTCAATGTCCGCTTCTTCTACCTCATACACTTTTTTTGATGAGATTCCCTGGAGCTGAGTAAGGATTTAAACCCGCCTTGTTTATATGAATTTACAATGTCATGAACAGTGGCCTTCAATGAATATAATATTCCAAATGGATTAATATATTGGGAGAGATCTGCGCTTGATTGTGCTGGCATATTGTTCAATATCTACAACACATGATCAACGTCATTTTTTGACGTGATTGATTTTTCACACCTTGACTGCAAATCGGCCTTAACTGTGTATCCTTTTTCTCTCTGAATCTATTTTGACATTAAAAGACAAGTATTCTGGATGCATATTATTTCTTCCTAGCCAGTTTCAACATATTTTTGGTCTATATCAGTATTTTCTGTGGCAAAACTTCAGAGAATGTTGGAAACGGAAACCCCTCCCCACTTTTGACGTCACTTTCAAGGCCTCCTTTGTTTGGACATTCCGTGTAAAATTTACGATAAAATTTCATAGAATATCCAGAATAAGTGAAAATTTTATATTTTATGGAACAATTGTGTCCCGACACATACCAGAATGAACAGGATTTTTGGATGTCAAATGATCATATCAGAAGAGTTTTTCTCAGATACACTTAGGTCGAAAAAACGTCGTGTTCGAGGTTGCGCCGCCTGGACATACCATTGCTTATAAAAACATTACTTATTTATTTAAAAATAAATTTTATGATTGATGGTTTATTCTTTAGATAGAAAAGATGGTGTTAACTTGATATTTAAAATTTCATTGATGTGCCTAAAGCGGTTTTAAGTTTATGACGCTAGTCCACGAACTTTTTGATAACCCCTCGTATACGTATTCCGGGGTATATATCTCAAAGTTCTACTTTTAGCAATATTGAACACATTCTAAATGAAGCCACTCTCTATATGAAATGAAACAAGTTAGAAAGAAAGAAACTAGAGGTGCTGTGAGCATGCACCGAGCTCACTGAATGATACCCCCCGCCTCCCATTTGATTAAAGTGGTAAATTCCATGTTTTGCTCTGGGGGACCCGAAATAAGTGTCAGATCAAAAAGTAAAATAGGAGGTGCACGAAGGCACAATGTAACAAAGATTTTCTGAAAGTCTCATTCAGAAGTATAAGAGGTAGAGGAGGTGAGGATAAGAGATGGGTATCCCAAAGCGTAACAGAAGGACGCACATACAAACGGACGGCATCCCGAGCACTATATTACCTCTCACTTTTCAAGCAGGGTATAAAAACATGGGAACATTAGTATACTACGGGGAGGCTTTCTACCAGTCTCTTAAAACAGTAGAATTAATTATAAATTAACAGTGGTCCATGCACTTTGCCTTTAATCATATAAACCATAACGCGAATAGGTAATGCTGGTACTTGAAAAGTGAATGGCAACACCTTGTTTTGATAAACATTATCATCTACCAGAATTTCAATTTCAATTCTGCGATTAGCATTGATGGTAATTAAGTTGGCTGCACTGGTGATTATTTGTGAGAACTTAGGACTACATGTACAGTAAGGGTGTTCGATTTATCCAACAAGACCTAACGCTGGAATCTCATTCAATATCTACCCGTACTATTCTGGTTTTCATTTCACAATATGTAAAAAGATTTCGAAATAAAACCCATTCCCCCTACTTTTTAGTTGACGAAATTGGCATTTATAGAAACAACATGTAGGTTCGAAAGAATCGCTGAAGCATGAATAACCTATTTTTGGAACACTTCCTCCATACCACGAACACTAGAATTAGCATATGAATAAACTGTGATCCAAAGCCCATTCATCGCGTTTGATTGTATTCATTCAATGCTTTCATCGCCACGAAGATGGTGTGATTTCGGATTCGAAATGGCAGGGAGTGAGAAGTTACAAGACATCTTGAGCGATTTCCCGGAGGTGACTCCAATCAGGGCGTATCTACAAGATTACACTTACAACTACTCACTTCGTCACACGTGGTTCGGGGATCAGCACGCTCATTCCAGGTAATTGTAATCGTTTGGACACACCCGGAGTTACGAATACTGGGTACCTCATTTCATTAACACGGGAATTGCGTTCGTTGGTCACCACATATTACTAAAGGAAAATCACTTAATTCAGCAAATCAAAATAATTTATTTAAAAAAATAAAAAAAGTAAAAAAAAAACGTGCCTTTTTTTGGCGGGTATGAGTTACGACAGTCCCTTAAATAAACACTTTTTTCTATATCGGTGAGGAATTGTTTCTAATAGAAATATCTAAACCTACGTGAATGCTCAATGTTTAATCAAAATTACTGAAATTTCGAGTTTTTTAAAGTTAAACATTGTTAATAAGATCAGGCAAACAGACAGATACTTAAAAAAAGGGTAGACAGATTAGTAGACTATATATGAGAGAGACAGATAAACAGGTAATTAGGTAATTAGACAAAACGACGAAAACACGTAGACAGACAGTTAACTAAAAGAAATACAGGATTTGTTTGTTTGTCTGTCTGTTTGTTATATGTTCTTTTCGAGGATTTTTCACTCAAATTGAGTTCACTTTTAGATCGAAGGTTGCTTTAGATCTTAGCATTTGGCACTCAGGGCCAGTACCTACTGCAACATGGGATCTAATCCGAGGGATGGGTATTCTATGGGATTCGAACTTGCGATGTGGCAACACACTTTGAATGTTTTTTTTTTCAAAGTGCGCCGGATTTAGGACAAATACAACGCATTTCTAAAAAAAAAAATCCAATTGCGTTTAGAGTGTATATCAACATTTTTTATTTACCATGAAGACACTTAACACACTTTGAAAAAATATGTATAAAACAAAAATTATAGACTTAGATTTGAGAAATAGAGAGCATTAATTTGTTATTAATTAATATGAATTGATTTACCCTAGCCTTATCTAAGCCCCATTTTAAAAATTTTTCCTATGCATGGGCGTCGGTAGCAAATTGAAAGAGGGAGGGGCTAAATCAAAAAAGATAAGCCCCAAATTTCATTGTGTATTATGTATATATTTGAAAAAAAAATCAGGAAGGGGGACTAAGCCGCTTAATTAGTCAATAATTAAGACAGGAATACAGACAGATAATTAGGGAATAAGACAGACCAATAAACAGATGACTAGTGAATAAGACAGACGTATAAACAGATGAATGTGCAATAAGACAGACTAAATACGCAGGTACATGTAATAACTACACAATAAGACAGACAAATAATTAGTCAGGCTGACAGACAAAAAACCAAATAAGATAGGTAGACTGACAAATAACTAGACTATAAGACAGACAGATGAACAGAAAATAGGATAGACAAATAACTGGGCCATAGGAAAGATAACTAGGCAATAAGCCAGATAACTAGGCAATAAGACAGATAACAAGGCAAAAAGACAGATAACTAGGCAATATGACAGATAACTAGGCAAAAAGACAGATAACTAGGCAATGGGACAGGCAAATAATTAGGCAATAGGACAGGCAGATAACTAGGCAATAGGACAGATAACTAAGCAATATGACAGATAACTATGCAATAAGGCATATAAACAGATAACTGGGCAATGGACAGATAACTAGGCAAATAGGCAGTGGGACAGATAACTAAATACACAGATAATAATGGGACAATAAGGCAAGAGGACAGATAAGGCAATAGTGAGGACAGATAACTAGGCAATAGGACATATAACTAGGCAATAGGACAGATTACTAGGCAATAGGACAGATAACTAGGCAAGAGGACAGATAACAAGGCAATATGACAGATAATTAGGCAATGGGACAGATAACTAGGCAGTGGGAAAGATAACAAGGCAATAGGACAAATAACTAGACAGATAACTAGGCAATAGGAAAGATAACTAGACAATAGGACAGATAACTAGGCAATATGACAGATAACTAGGCAATGGGACAGATAATAAGCAATAGACAGATGACAGTGGGACAGATAACTAGGCAATAGGACAGATAACTAGGCAATGGGACAGATAACTAGGCAATGGGACAGATAACTAGGCAATGGGACAGATAACTAGGCAATGGGACAGATAACTAGGCAGTGGGACAGATAACTAGGCAATAGTACAGATAACAAGGCAATATGACAGATAACTAGGACAGATAACTACGGAAGAGGACAGTTAACTAGGCAATAGGAGAGATAACTAGGCAAAAGGACAGATAACTAGGCAAGAGGACAGATAACTAGGCAGTGGGACAAATAACTAGGCAATGGGACAGGACAGATATCTAGGCAATATGACCAATAACTAAGCAATGGGACAGATAACTAGGCAATGGGACAGATAACTAGGCAATAGGACAGATAACTAGGCAATGGGGTAGATAACTAGGCAGTAGGACAGAAAACTAGGCAATGGGACAGATGACTAGGCAATGGGACAGATAACTAGGCAATGGGACAGGACAGATATCTAGGCAATGGGACAGATAAGTAGGCGGTGGGACAGATAACTAGGCAATAGGATAGACAGGTTACACAACAGGATAAGCAGACAAATCCAATGTAGAAAATCTTAAGATAAAATTGTATTTTCTTTCAGACTCAGCAGTCAGAGTCCTCCAGATTTTGCTGAAACAAAGCCTAATGTTTTCCCCAAACTTCAGCTAGATCATCTTCAATTCCCACCAACAAATCTTTCAACAGTTAATCAGGATCCATGCAACATAAAGACAGAACCATATGAATATGCAACAAGTACAGAAGTGGCAAGTGAATATGTGCAAGTCAATCCCCCAGTGGCCAAATTTCCACCAATTAAGTTGGAACCCAATGAGTTTCCTACAGTTAATATTAGAGATTTGGGAAGCAGTATATTACAACTCCCCATGGCTGAGAAATCAAATAGTTCTGATGTTCCTTCAAGATACCTTCAGAATAACCCCCAGCTTTCATTACCTTTGCGACAACCTCTTGTTGATATGACCAATGTCTTAGAGTCATTTGATACTGGAAGGTCAAAGGAGAACAGCCAAAATGAAAGAGAAAATCTGAGCAGGGTACCTCTCTCCAAATATTTACCTGTTTTATGGAAATCTGTTTTTGATTCCCAAAACACTCAAAGTGATTTAGAAGAGGAAGAGGAGAAACCTATGACAGATAGAGAATTTCCAAAGACCTCAGAAGGTCAGGAAAGGAGGGTAAAAAGATCAAGGAAACTTCAAATACCGGTCAAAAGTGCCCAAAGATTGGATCCAAACTTCAGAGGGGCCACTGTAATACTGCACACAGAAATAAAGAATAAAAACTGTAGTCTCACTCTATCAGCTCATTTCAGGTGAGTAGATAGAAAACATTGGTAAAAATGAGTCTGTTTTCCATATCATAAAACAACAGGTATACAAAATATTTTTACATATACCGTATATATATTATATCATATGTTACTACATGGTATAAGTTATAGGTTACATATATCATAACTTTGGTATCTCAAACATAAATATCTAGAATACCATGAATACGTCAAAATCAGAAGGAAATCCAGTTCAACCTTAATTCAAACTTGGTATGTTGAATCTTCAGATTTCTTTAAGTTTATTGTTCATCCCATCAAGAAAATATAATGAGATTTGACTGTATATATTTTCAGTAATGTAAAGATCTACAAGCAGCAGCCCTGCAGAAAACGGAAGCACAGTGGTTCCTACTCCAACGCGGACTCTGTGAGTGGCTCTGATGAGGAAAATACAATTCCATTCCCAAAGGATACCCATTACTCGGGTGATTTTCTGAATATTTTTCACCTGCAATCTTCTGAATTGTGTAAAGACAAAGTAATGATCTAAATAAATTGGTCTAAAAAAGCATAGAAAGTATATGAAATTCATATTTAAAAGAGAGTTAGTGAAGCAGGTTCATTTGTCAGTGCCAGATGTTCAGAGGTGTTCAGGGAGCCTGGGTATCACCATACACAAAAAATCTTACACCTGTTTTCCCTTACAAAACTGTGTTTATCTTACAACATTTGTGATTAGAACCATGCATTGCTTTAAAACTTAGGATTATTCTAAGTTTAAGCTGTTGTCATCATTTTTAGCTCTACTGGTCAGAGACCAGAAGAGCTTATGTTTGACCGTATATATCCTCCTACATTTTTAGTCTGATTTCAATATTACTTGGCACACAAGTAGACTACATTAAGATACATAGAATAGTGCATCGGTTTTTGATTTCGATGAACGGTGTTGCCATGGTTACTAAAAATAGAATTTTCTGTGAAATTCCACAGTTTTGGTCTGTTTTCAATATAACTTGGCACACAAGTAGACTACACTGACATAGAATAGTGCATCAGTTTTTGATTTCGATGAACGGTGTTGCCATGGTTACTAAAAATAGAATTTTCTGTGAAATTCCTTAAAAACGACTCCTTCTACAGTTTTGGTCTGATTTCAATATAACTTGGCACACAAGGATACACTATACATAGAATAGTGCATCAGTTTTTGATTTCGATGAATGGTGTTGCCATGGTTACTAAAAATAGAATTTTCTGTGAAATTCCTTAAAAACGCTACTCCTTCTACAGTTTTGGTCTGATTTCAATATAACTTTAGACTACACAAAGAAACACCTAATTTTGATGAACGGTGTTCATGGTTACTAAAAATAGAATTTTCTGTGAAATTCTTTAAAAACACTACTCCTTCTACAGTTTTGGTCTGATTTCAATATAACTTGGCACACAAGTAGACTACACTAAGATACATAGTATAGTGCATCGGTTTTTGATTTCGATGAACTTTGTTGCCATGGTTACTAAAAATAGAATTTTATGTGAAATTCCTTTAAAAGACTCCTTCTACAGTTTTGGTCTGATTTCAATATAACTTGGCACACAAGTAGACTACACTAAGATACGTAGAATAGTGCATCGGTTTTTGATTTTGTTGAACGGTGTTGCCATGGTTACTAAAAATAGAATTTTCTGTGAAATTCCTTAAAAACACTTCTACAGTTTTGGTCTGAATTCAATATAACTTGGCACACAAGTAGACTACACAAAGATACATAGAATAGTGCATCAGTTTTTAACAACGGTTTTGCCATGGTTACTAAAAATAGAATTTTCTGTGAAATTCTTTTACTCCTTCTACAGTTCTGGTCTGATTTCAATATAACTTGGCACACAAGTAGACTACACTAAGATACATAGAATAGTGCATCTGTTTCTGATTTCGATTAACGGTAATTTTCTGTGAAATTCCTTAAAAACGCTACTCCTTCTACAGTTCTAGTTTGATTTCAAAATAGGTTGGCACACAAGTAGACTACACAAAGATACATAAAATAGTGCAATGGTTTTTGATAAGTACAAACCAGTAGAGCTACAGTCTCGACAGAGACTTCTGGTTTATTAATAAATACACTTAAATTCTTTTCTGGTTCATCATCTCCATTATGTTGCATCTTGTTAAAAGTATTATGACCATTGTTGAACAATATTACAGGTAAGATCTGTGCCTCCTGTGGGACCCATAGAACCCCCCTCTGGAGAGACGCTGATGATGGAACACCCCTCTGTAATGCTTGTGGAATCAGGTGAGACTATTTCCCTCTTCTTTACTACAAGACTTTTGAAATTGTATAATTTAAATCTCTGCCATCATAGTTCATGAAGCACATGGACATTTGAACATCTCTAATTTAAATGCTTGTTCCTAAGCAAATTTTATCCATTGCACTGTAAGTGAAGGTACTGGATTATTGGTATGGAGATTACTGGAAATGAGATTCAACTCTTCTTTATAGCTTTTTTCACCATCTCCTATTACAGTTGTATCATTAAATATCCCCAAAACATTGCCAGGGCTGGCTTGATCATTTAAAGTATATCTATCCTAAATATCATATTCACAAAAATATATTTCAAGTTGCAACAAATTAATTTTACTTTTTGAAACTGAATAATTTTTGCAAATGTTTTCCTTTACATAAACTGAAAGCAAGCGTTTTTATAAATAATATTTTCAGGTAAACGGTCGAAGTGGGTTTGAAAAATAATGCATTTCACACGTTAAAAGTCACAATCAGGCAAATTTAAAGTATGAATAAGTCACAAATGTAAATATAAGTAATAAGGTATCAGTGCCTAAAGCCCTTTGGGGCTTAAATAATATTTTCATTCCATAAGAAGTGCCTGTTGGACATCAAAGGACATCAAGACATACCCTAAATGTCCCCACTGCGGAGCCTCACTTCGAGTTTCTTTTGCCAAGCGACATCCTTGGTAACATCCACCATTGTAAATTAAGCAATGAAAATGAATGAAGGAGAAAGATAATTTTAGGAACATTTTATGTCATTTTTAGAGAATGTTTTGCCTTTTTTGTAAGTAATTCTGAGTTTACCTGTAATTAGTCTCTTAATCAGTCATAACTTCATCTTAGTTTGTATATTAATTTTTTAAAGTGTTTTTGTTTCATTTTCCCAAACATTTTACCACAAAAGGGGAAATTTTGTAAGGGAGATAAGTGTGTATGTGTGAAATTTTATTTTTGCTCTTTAAAAGATATAACATAGCAAGAAACATCAGCTGTATGCATGCATGTCAAATATTATTTCTATAAAATCCTTAAATTCTTTTTCATTGCAATGAAAGATTTATTTTTGATTTAGGCTCCGGCCAACATACTAGCATTACATTGCATTCCATGTGTATGTTTTGAGTTCATTATCGAAAGGATTTTTTTGAGTTGATTTTTTGTTTTGTTTTTTCTGTTAAACCTCATATCAGATAATATGATATTTGTTTTCCTTATACTATGTATATTAGTTCCTTTCTTTAAGTACAAGACTTTTTTTGTTGAATATTGCATATAAATGCTTTTTATAAAAGCTTAATTATTTATAAAGAGTTAAATCATAATTACGACTGTTTTCATGTAACAATTAATAAGAAGCCATGTTACATGTATAACAAACTGGATAATTTTTTGTTCATTTTGAGGGAAATACATCATTATTTATTTCAATGTACTGTGACTACTGTCAGTATTTATGCATGGGGACCAGACTAAATAAAACTTTACAAGAACAAATGCATTCCGAATCTTGATCAAATGTCTACCAATTGTTCTTGCACATATGCACTTCATATTTTGACTGACTGATGAATTTTCTACACTGATATTTCTTTATGGATCAATTAGCAACGTAATTGTTATTTTACTTATGATTGAAATAAAGAGATAAAATTTCATTCAAAGTTGACTTATTTTATATTGAGTTGCATGCTGCTACTTGAATGATACTCACTATTACCTCCTTATCATGTCCTTCTTGCACAGTATAAACACAAAACAGTAATGAGATTATCAAACATTTTTATTTGGCTGTGAAAATGATAAATCTCGCATACATTATCATTCAACATGCCAGCAGATAGGCAGCTTGGGCTGATTGAAAAATGTTACAAAATCTTCAGCTAGTCTAACCACAGAAGCTAACATTTAGCACCTAGTATAGCTGATGTCTGGATGACCTATATACAGATATAATGATGGATGTAGCATCTATCTGGTATACTTGTCTATGAGAAGCTTACAAAAGCAATAAAATAATGCACCATTTGAAAAAATAATCAGAATACAGAATTATACACGTTTTTATGTTGCACTTCTTCAAACATAGACTAAAGATACATTCAACAGAATTTATAATTCCTCACAGTGGTGATAATGGCTGAGTCTAGCATTTGGTAAATACCTTTGATTGTCTGGTGATTTATTATGATATCATCATGTGTTCAGTTTCCATTTTATATGAAATGTATGCTAAAAACCATTTTACAACACACAAACAAAAAAATGAATTTACGTGACATCAGAAGAGACGCAGAATATTGTACAGTTTTAGAATGCATATTGACAAGAAATCAGTATCATGGGAGATAACTTTAGTAGCATGGTACTTGAAGCATTAAATTTTCTTTGGCAATCCATTATATTTTTCTTGTGACCTGACATATAAATTCTTTGTGTGAACTTAAACATAGATCTAACACTAGCAATTAAAACATTACCTAAATTGTTACTTTTAATAATTTTGCAGTTCGTTAGAAAAACCAAGACTATGTAAAATTTTTATAATGACTAAACTGAAGACATCATTTTTAGCATTGTAATATATTTGGATTTTATTTGGCAAGTTTTTAAAGGATTTCAACAGAATCAATCTACACACTACAAAGTTTTTACGAAAATCAATAGCCATTGATAGGTGAATTACTTTCTGAATAAATTTAATCGTTTGTAAAGAAATGAAAAAATTGCAATATGGACGGACACTAGACTCCCAGTTTTTAAGTCACAACAGACATTGAATTAAATCCTTCCTCAATACAAGCTTAGAAGATTTATGTTTAAATATATATAATGGTTACCATGACAACAACATTGACATAAGCACCATTGAAAAATACCCTTAATTTTGTCATGTTTGTCTCCTCTCCCTTGCTCACTCCACTTCCACACTCAAAATCGGTCTCATAACAACTATACAGATTCAGTCTGAATGTAAACTAAGCACCCAGATTTATAAAGTCTAATGATAAACAGAATTTGATGCTTGCAGGTTTAAAATATGCTGACTAAAACTGATAGAAATTTGGAAAGAGGATCCTTTATTATATATAATACATAAATTTACAGATATTTCTGTTGCCACTCATGTTTGATTCCCATTTATCTCAGAATTTCGAATTAAAATATTGTTAAATGTTACATTATGACAAGAAAGTGGAGATTTTAAGTGATTCTGCAGTAAAAACGACAAAATAAATTGTTTAAAAATGCTTGCTGTTTGTGGGAATCTCCGGGAAAAAAAATATCAGCAATTAATTTGAAAAATCATTTACTCCGAGTCATCAGACATGCTGGTCTACCTTTAGTTATTACATTTGAAGATTTAAGTTGCTTGTATAAAATATTGGTTTAAATTCCATAAAAATAATGGCAAGAAAAATATTCAACAGTTCATGGCACTTTGACCAATCTCTCTACTGGACCCATCAACAAATTTCACATAATTGACAAGTACAAAAGAATGCAATTTTTTTTTAGAACAAATACTACATCCTTAACAATTTTCACAGTAGTATAATTATGCAGAGTGCCTCAATATCTTAAGGCTATGACTAGAAAAATTATTTGCTTTGGTATATCTTCAAAGAAACATTCAGACAAACACAAATACCCATTGTTTTCCTTTAAAAAAATACTGAAAAATACTAGAAAGACATTAAATTATCTATAATGTCAGTTGTTTAGTCAGTATTGACAAAACACCTGAAATTATGTATAATGTCAAACAATACTGACAACACAACAGAAGAAAGACATTAAATTACACATATAATGTCTGGCTTTCAAAAAATGCCTATTGGTGTCCATGGATCTTGCAAATGCTATGCTTCTACAAAATTTGTGTCTGGCAATGAACAACAGAATGACTCTTAATTACAGATTCTTGGTTTTCACAAGTTTATAAGCACACAGACATAGCATCAACATCTGCTGAAGCTGGTGCAGTTTAGAACTGCAGTTTATTCCTGTTCATCACAACAATTTTGATTCAGTGAGTATAAATGTACAAAAAAAGTTTACACCACAAAATGCACTGCTGTTCACTCATGATAGTCCGCCGTCCTCTGGTCAGGAATGTACACATTTTGTGCCATCAAGTTATTGAACCTCTGACAGTCTGATGGTCCATTGACCACCGCTGACCCATTGGGGACACTATTCATACCCAACACCTGCGTGTGTGGGATAGTGCCAGGGCCAACCAATTTGTAGTTTGCAGTGGAGTCCTGTGACCCAGAACTAGCAGACGACTTGTGACTGGAAGCCACAGATTCTGCAGGAGAGATTTTCTGAGGGCCATTTTGGCCTACCACTGGATACAAGGGTTGTTGCTGTAATTTCTGATGGTTACCAATGGGAGGATGTGCCAGTGGGTAATTAGGTGGGACAGGGGACTGCATCATTGGGGATTGGATGGGCCCAGCTTGAGCTGGGGTGTAATGCACTCTTGGTAAGTCTGTGTAACGAGGGTCCATCATTTGGACCTGTGGATGTTGGGCTGGGGTCTCGGACCCCCCACTACTTCCTGTGAGTCCCGTCAATGCTGTGGTATTACTGGGCCCAGTACTGCTGTGGTGACTAGGTCCACTCTGTGAGCTCTGGTGAGTACTTCCACTGTGAGCTGAGTGAGTCTGACTCAAGCTCCAGTGAGGATTCTGCATGAGGACTTCAGTCTTCCAGGCACGCAATCGAGCATGAATTTCTCTAAATGTTGGCCTCCTTGTTGGGTTTTCATGCCAGCATTCAACCATGAGGCCATACATGCGAGGGGGGCAATCCTCAGGATTGGGTAGGATTTGGCGAGATCTTACTACATCTATCACTTCTTGGTTAGTGTAGCCATAGTAAGGCTGGAGTCCATAACTGAAAATTTCCCACAGAACCACTCCATAAGACCACATATCACTTTCTGTGGTGAACTTTCCATACAAAATAGCCTCCAAAGGCATCCACCTAACAGGTAGCAAGGATTTACTCTGCACACGGTAATAGTCTGATGAGTATATGTCTCTGGATAAACCAAAGTCTGAAATCTTCACTGATAAATTATCTCCCACCAGGATGTTCCTGGCTGCAAGATCTCGGTGAACAAAATGGTGACTTGCAAGATACTCCATTCCTGCTGCAATTTGAATTGCAATGAACAACATTTCTGGATATTCCAGAATGATTCTTTTGCCACTTTCATCATCCACACTAGACATGTCAGAATTTGGTGAGTGAGTGAGAAGATACTCATGTAAATCTCCATAGGGCATGAATTCAAACAACATACACATGGGTTCTTGCTTCATCGAAACTCCCAACAAACACACAATGTTAGGATGGCGAAGTTCGGTCATCAGATCCACTTCCCTTCGGAAGTCATTCTTGACTTTTGGCGAGGCATTTTCCTTCAGAGTTTTAATGGCAACTTTGGACACAGTACTATCCCCATATAATCCCATCACTTCTCCTTTGTACACTTTTCCGAATGCTCCTTCGCCCAGTTCTTGTAGGAATCTTATAGAGGACAATGGGAATTCTCTTATTCTGCATCCTGGATTTTTTCCAGTTAATGGCACAGTTTCCACAGTGGAATTCTGGGAAGAGTTTGTTCCCTTGCTATTAGCACCCTTTTCATTCTTTTTCTGACACAGACAGACAACAGCGATTAGGATGATGAGAGCCAATGGAACAATTATCCCTGGCACCAGAATGTACATTAGTTTGTTGACAGGCTCAGCTCCACTGGCTGGAAGAGAAAACCGTTACCAATCAAATCAATGGAAATATCATAACCAAGGGCAATCCATTATTTTATTTTTGGAGGGGATATAGATATATTCGGTGATTATCTTTTGTAATGGCAGTAATTTACATTGGGATTGAAGTCCTCTTTTAAATGGGTATGCTCTGCTTTGCAAAGTCCTTGTGTGTATGTATGTTATGTTGTACATATTTGTTCCAAAAATGTTTTGCAGAATCAGGTTGTAGAAAAACAATATGAAGATTCAATGCCATCATACTAATACACATTTTTCTCAAATAAGGACAGATACACAACAGACCCCTAAAGATATAAGCTTTAAAGTAGCATACGTATTACATACTTCAGTCTTGTCTTCACAAGATATGTATAATTCATTTAATTTAAACATCAGATTTACACTTACTGCAGCGTGGGATTTCACAGGTTTCATTGTGCCTAAAGTTATGGTCAATATAGCACCAGGGACCTCTCGGGTCGTGATTAGGATTTCTGCATTGGTTGTGGTTTCCTGTAAGAATATTTGAATGGATTTTTTCTTTTTTACGGTTTAATTTATCTATCATTCTTATTTTAATTAATAAAATTTTTAGAAAATTTTTAATGCTGTATAATGAATTCCATGATTTTGTTTAAACCTGTTTAACCCAGTCACTTCTTACACTTTACTAAAAATGAACAAAGAAATTTCTTTTTCTTTATATATATATAAGATGTTTCTTTCAATATAAGAAGAGATGTGATAAATCCTGAATCATCTTAGTGTATTCTCACCCAGTAATTTATGGTCTGGGAACTTTGGATTGTTTTGCCAGTTGACACACGTTTTCCCTGTCAGAGTTCTATGGTGAGTTCCTTTGTAGTATTCTCCCTTCCCCGTATAACAACTGCGCTCTGAAATAGAATTTTTTTTTTTTTACAATATCTTATAATTAAGAACTTTTGAAACTAGTTTTATTCAAAATTCATCACTGCACTGTCTATTTTCTTTTAGACTGTAGTAGAAAAGGGGGAATGCATAAAGAAAGTATATGAAAATATGGCTGGACTTGAACCTGGAACCTCTGTATCACTATTGATGTGCTCTAGCTACAAATGGTCTATATAATTAAAACTGCCATGGAAGAAGAATTTGTTTATATATAGTAAATGTTACTAAAAATCCATGCAAACTTGCACATATCTTCTACCCTATAAAGTCCATTACAAAGAAAATTATATCATATTTGTCTCTAAAAACTATAGAACAGATAACACTTACCTGGGATATCATATCCACCATGGATTTGATTGCCTTCGTTTTGTCCATACCACACTGTTAATTAACAACATCATAGTAAGCACTGACTGTTAGAAAGCAACAATTTAAGACATATCATGACAAAGAACAGCTTAAACATGGACACAATTATTTTCTATCAAGATGCATGACCACATAGTAAAAAGAAAAACAGACATAACAAAATATTCTACAAATGTTTTATGTGTGCATTTGTTAGGTTGTGTTCCCAAAGTAGATCAGAGGTGAGAGAGCCTATTGATAAAACACTATAATACTTAATGCTAAAAATACACAAAAATTTATACATTGTTCTCCCCCCCCCCTAAAAAAGTAGTCCATATAGAAATAATTCAAAGCTTCTATGCAAGGGCATTCAACCAGGCCCGCGCGGTACATTGCCGATTTTATTGTATTTTTGATAAAATAAAAAGTTAACCTCATTTGTTTCGTAGTTTAGTATTCAAATATCACTTCCGGTACATAATTCGAACAAATTTTGACCAGAAATGGAAAGTCAAACGTTTACTACTATTTTAATTTTTTTTTTAATGTGTTTTTTCTACTCTTGGTGGTTTGAAATACTATTTACACAGTTATTTCATATCATTTCAGCCAAAGTTCTGTTAGAAAGAAAGATAACTCTGTCGCTTTATTTTTGTTTAGTTTTGAATATGCCCTGCGATCATGAGGGCAGTAATAATTTCCCTTTATACAGTAGCTACTTAACTTTGTAGAAAGAAAGACAAAATTACTCTTTGTACTGGATTTGTATGCATGTCCACTATATGAAATAAATTAATAGAGACATACATAGCCTCATGCATAAGACAATACAGAACAGAGGGAAATAAAGCCAGGGAAATTCATTTCTTGACAACCTCTTGATCACTTCACTCACTGTTCCTATTACAAATGTCTGACCTGATTTTGTCCGGGATGGTACTCCTATCCTTACACAGTTGTTTCCCTCTGGAGTTCCTATGGGAGGCAAGTCCTTACAAACAGGAAGAAGCTGCTTACCTAGAAACACAAGGCATCAACAAATTATCAGTAGACTAAGACAATAAAGCATCACTTATCAGTGGTAAACACATTAGACTAGTAAACATACATGTACTAAGGTAATAAGCAGTGAGCACATAATAATGAATATTGGAATTTTTTAGTAAAAATTTCCTTTCTGTTGAAATCTTTACCAATTTCTGGATGGATCATTCCCAGTTTATATTCCTTGATACAGATATTCTGTTCTAGTTCTTCACACTCGTCACGACACACCTGTCGCGGGCGAGGCTCGTCTGATGTGTGGTCACACGGTGGGAATGTATAGTAACACAGAAACGGTATAGCGTACTGGTGACAAGTGGTAGACATCTCACTAGAAGATGCAATTATGGTAAAGCCACCTAAAAATGGTATTTTATCATTAGAAATTGTTCTTATGGCAAATCAACTTAAAACTAGTAATTTAATGTATTGAAAGGATTTAAAGTTATGGTAAATCTACCAAAAAATATCATTTACATCCTTTTGATGTCCAGAAACATTTAAAATAAGTAATGCAATATAAAATAGATAAAATTTTTTTAGAGCATCTAAAGAAGAGAGTAAACATTCATTTTAAAGAAAGGAAGAAATGAAAAATACATTGTCTTCAAAATCTACTTTGATGCTCATAAATTTATCTTTTATTCTGTGTATAAAAAAATCAGGCAATTCAATATTTCAAAGGAAAATTAAGATTAACTTGGCAACAAATTGATCTTTAACTTCAGTTGATATGTTATCTATGATACATTTACGTACTGATAAAGTTATTTTCTTTGATTCCTTGTGAATATTCAGATGTTACATAGATGCTCTGATTGCCAAAGAACTTGGCACAGGTGTTTCCCCTAAAGGTCTGACAAAATCCATCCCCTCTTTCCTTGGATTTCTTGTCTTTCTCCTGATACCTGTGATCAAAAAATGGCAACAAAATTTTAGACATATTCAGTCAGTAACTATTCTCAATTTATTACACATGTAAGTGCAGATTGCAACTTCTTTGGCCCCATAGTGAAATATAATTCTTAAACTTTTTCATTTTTAAATGAGATATACTTTCAATCCTCGACCTTCTTTAAATATTTTTTAAAAACTTTTTATTTTATTTAGTTTTTCTTTGCGATTGTTGTTTTGAATACACATTCTTTCAAACAAAAAACATTTTATATTCATCCTTCTTTGCTATCGTATATATTCACTGAAAAACAGCGACCCAAAATGTGCTTGCATTATAGAATTTTTTTTATATCACTACCTTATACTGAAGGGCATATATATTTTCTGAGTACAATATACCGTGTTAAAAAGCCAATTAAAAATACATTTGCCTTTTTATGCTACAAAGAACACACGAAAGAAGAAAAGAGGAAAAAGTCTTGCTGGATGTAATGTAAGTTCTCAGAGTATGCAAATCAAAATTACTTTATTCTAGCTTAAATTTTGTTAATTTTGCTTTTCTTCCTGATATTTTTACTCTTTGAAAAAAAATGTATTGCTCAAAATGAATAAATACAGATACTTGATGATTATGAGATAAAAAAGCACTATCATTTGTTAGTGAAGGAAAGATACATAAAGGATATTCAATGTTTGGTAGTTGATTATGGAATTATTTCACGAATGGAACAAGTCTTTTTTTAAATCTTTAAGACTGCAAAGCATGAGTGAATAATTTCGAAAATCATGTCTTGAGAGAGAAAATAATTCTAAATAATCAACTTCAAACATTGAACTTTCTATTTATTACATTTTCATGGATTTTCTTTTTGCCTTAATTGTCTTTTTGTAAAGTAGTGTCAGAAGTGTAACTCTCACTACAATCTTACCATAGGGTAGGTAAATGTAGTATTGTTTTATTGCACTCTTTGTGAATGGAATTTTTTTCTTCCAATTTTGCGGCACATTTGATATTTTTTCATACATTGAAAATATATCACATGCATTTATTTCACTGATAAATTAAACTATATCAATGTTGAAAATGTAATAAATTATAATATACAGTTGTCCAAATAAAAATACACACACACACTTATATAGATATAATGGAGAGGAGGAATGATAGAAAAAAAAACACACAAAGGCACAAGACTTAGTAGACACTACACACAAACACACCTAAAATGAAGTTTTCCCCACCATCAAGCAAGCTACTTAGAAGCATATTTTGTATGTTATCTCTACATTCATAAACAAGAGGCCCATGGGCCACATCGCTCACCTGAGAAACTTTGGCCATGCTGTTCTTTAACAGATTTCCTCCCACCAGGGGTCATGATTTGGATAATTTATAATCTACACTACCCCAAGATGCTTTCATATAAGTTTCAGCTTTTCTGGCCCAATGGTTCTTGAGAAGAAGATTTTCAAAGATTTTTCCTATATATTTCTATGTAAAATTTGGATTCCCTATTGTGTCCCCACCCTTCCCCCAGGGGTCATGATTTGAACAATTTAGAATCTACACTACCCAAGGATGCTTCCACATAAGTTTTGGCTTTTCTGGCCCAGTGGTTCTTGAGAAGATTTTTAAAAGTTTTTTCCTATATATTTCTATGTAAAAATTGGATTCCCTATTGTTACCCCCAGGGGTCATGAGTTTTTTGCTTTCATATATATTTCTGGTCCAGTGGTTCTTGAGAAGAAGATTTTTAAACTATATATTTCTATGTAAAACTTGGATTCCCTATTGTGGCCCCGCCCTACCCCAGGGGGTCATGATTTGAACAATTTAGAATCTACACTACCCCAGGATACTTCAAAATAAGTTTCAGCTTTTCTGGCCCAGTGGTTGTTGAGAAGAAGATTTTTAAAGTTTTTTCCTATATATTTCTATGTAAAACTTGGATTCCCTATTGTGGCCCGCCCTACCCCCGGGGGTCATGTCTTACACAATTTAGAATCTACACTACCCAAGGATGCTTCCACACAAGTTTCAGCTTTTCTGGCCCAGTGGTTCTTGAGAAGAAGATTTTTTAATGACCCCACCCTATTTTTAAATTTTCTTGATTATCTCCCCTTGGAAGGGGTCTTGGCCCTTGATTTTAACAATTTAAATTTCCCTTTACCCAAGGATGCTTTGTACCAAGTTTGGTTAAAATTGGCCCAGTGGTTCTTGAGAAGAAGTTGAAAATGTGAAAAGTTTACAGACGGACGGACGGACCACGGACAACGGGTGATCAGAAAAGCTCACTTGAGCTTTCAGCTCAGGTGAGCTAAAAAGGAAGCTAAACTTATCCTCTATATAACTGGATGAAGAAAAACTATGTTTTCTGTAATTATTAAATTTACTGGATAGCGAGAAATTGGGAGAAACTGTTTCAATCTTTTTTGTTGTTCTTTTTTTTGAACATTTTTTTAAATAAGTGTATTGAAAATAATAAAATAAATTAAAAAATGCTAAATACTCCAGACAACAATATAACACAAAAGCCACAATAAAAAGGCAAATGCATGTCGATTACATATTTTGTTATCAATTTCATTTTGCAAAATAGAGTTATCTCCCTTTCACTTAAGGTTGGAGGATTTGCAGAATGCAATTCAATGAAAGTATCATCAAAATGCAGGTATATTGGACTAAAGCTTATAGATGAAGCACAAAAGGATGTAGGAATACAACCTCCAAGCAAGATACAGCTATACTCACGTCTCATATACATCTTTATTGTATTTCCCAGAAAAGCTTTTGAAAGAAAGGAATTGAATTTTTATACCAAATAAAACCAATTTGTTTTAGAGCAAAAAAATATAAAATACGTATAAATCTGTAAGAATTGTACTTTAACGACTATCAGTTTAATCCATTGACAATATTATAGTATTCCCCTCTATCCCCAAAATTAGATACGGAATAAAAGCTGAAGTGTGTGTTGAGTTTGGCTCTGTCACTCAGCTTACAGTAGATAGTATCAGTAGCCTAGCTCTGACTACTACCTTGTTGATGAGCTCAATTCATGGCACAAGGTAAAAACATTAACATCACATACAGTTTATTGAGAAGTGTGAAAATGCACTCACCAAAAAGATATACATCAGAAAACATAAAACAGTCCAATTATCATTTCTCTCTTAGCAATATCGTAGCAACATTTGCTTTCTGTACATTTTTTATCAAAATGCTAACAAATTCACTTATCAATCTACGTGAATGAGTACTTTGATGAAGAATGTAGAAATAAGATAAAAATTTTGATTGATAGTGATCAATTTTTCAATACAGTTTGATGTCCCCTACTGGGCATATGAAGCAATGTCTAAAATAACATTTCATTATCAAATACCAAGGAATATATTCATGTATCAGAACTTTTCCACCCATTCATGATAAATGTATATTTTTGAAGTGTTGCCCCCTTATTTCATATCTACATACATGCAGTCATGACAGGTGGATCATGTACGCTAAAAAACTGGTTCTCTGCCCAATTTCTCATCGCTTTACAATACAGCAAGTAATTCTAAGTTTAAATATAGTAAATTATGCAAAACTTTTAAATTCAGTTCAATTTTTTTTAACACAAAATTCTGACAATGGACAAAGAATCCATGTCAGAGAACCAGTTTTTTTCACAGCGAGTTTTATATACATACATTTCTGTGTCGTCAGGGATTATGTCCGGCAGTCCGTGACCTTTGTCATCATTCTTAGCTTTAGGAGGATACTCTGTCAGATACATCAAAATTTATAAAGAGCTTTCTGTTAAAAATTATCTTTTTTACCTACAATGAACTGTTTTTCTTTCACCAAGTCTACTTGTACTTTTATTACAATTCTTCAGATCACTTTTTTTATTATAATAAATTGTGAAGTAAGTGGCGTAACGATTTCTTAAAGTAGTAGAAATGTGCAAGAGTGACAGGGTATTATGAAATAACTATCAAAAAAGTCCTACTATACAATATTAACATACCATTTTTAATCAGTAGATATCCTGTTGTATTGACCTCTCCCGCATTGTTTGAGGCTTTACACATATACCATCCACTGTCAAACACATCAGCATTGGCTATCTTCAACCTGACAGCATAAAATAAAAAGTTCTTATGTCTAGTGTCACTTTTTGTTTAATAAAAACATATTTCAAAATCCCATTAAAATTCATTTCTTTTTTTTTTCTATTACACAATGATGTTGGATGCATTTATTCTGAAGATGGAGAGGTATCACAAAGCTTAACAGCAAAAAAATAGAGATATTTTAATGTCACCCACATCTGCTTGGCAGACATATTGGACTATGAAAAACTTCTCTGATGTAATCCACAGATGTACTTTGCTATTAAATATCTCAGTAAGAAAATTCTAAATGCAAGAATAAAATAAAAAGAGAACATTTTCTTGTTGTTTGAGCTAGTATTGACTGACTTATGTCTCTCCTACAATTTTAAAGGGGAAAAACTTCCAACATCGTGTAAAACTTAATACTCTTCTTTTTTGTAATTGTTGTCATATATTTCTTTCAAATAAATTCAAATTCCTTACCCCTCCATCACTCACATAATTTTTTTTTTCAAAACAATAAGGTGTACAAAAAAAAATAAAATTCACAATTAAAATGCACAAAATTAGAGCAAAACTTTACAGAAATGGCTTTTTAACTTGAACATTTTATAAGGATCAATAACAGTCGATGATCCAAGTTAGAGTTATCTCTCTTATTTGAAATTCAATGAACCCTGAAAAACATTTCAGGCATCATAATTAAAACAAAGAATTTACTTGTACTAAGCATCTCAGAAAGTAAAAGGAGTTTAGATGAAAGAGGATGAATACCTCGCTCCCCAGGGAGTAAGTTTACTATTGATGCGGTCCTCATTTTCTCCAATAAGTACATCATCTTTGTACCACTTGTAGCGTGGCAGAGGATTTCCAGAAATTTCACAGCGAATACGAACATTTTCTCCCTTGTATTTGGTGATGTTTTTCATAGCAAAGTCCAGGTTCAACAGTGCCTTTCCATTTCCTAGAGAGAATAAGATTTTTCATTGTCTTTTTTAATGAAAGAAATAACAGCAAAGGATTTGTTGCTCAATCTAAAATAAAAATTTATCTGAAGTGATTTTTCAATGAGTTGTGTTTCTTCTTAACATAGCCAAATTTCAATTGACTTTTTTGAGCATGATTTACAAGTAATACATAGAACAATAATGCCACTTTGACCTTTACTTGCTCATGAAGGAAGTGGATGTGTGCAGAAGAGACAAATTTATTGCACCCACCACCATCAACTATAGTGGAGGAGGTAGGTTTAAATCAAACAGCTGAAACTTTGCATTTTATTTTTAGGTCTTGGACACTTAAGTACTCTTTGTTCACTGAAATCTTGTTTGATGATTCAACCTCATGCAAACATATAAGATACAACTGATATGTATGGATAAAAAATGTGCATACAAATTCCTCTGCATAAGTTTGAGATAACTTTATGTTTTACATGATTCCACCTTTATATTTACATGAAACCACTATCTGCAAATTACGTGAGAAACTTCACAGCATCTCGATTTATCACTTAGTATAATCAAAAATGAAAACATACATTTTGTCATTCACCCATTTGATGAGAAAGTCTGCTAAAAGAAGAGCCTGCCCTATCATATCATTTCAACCTTTAATGTCAACTTATTTTATCACAAAGTAATGAACAGATGCAACAATGCTCAAAAAGAACAGGAAAGAGGGGCATTGTGAAAACACATGATTTCATGTAATCCTCTATAAAGGTCACTTCTAATAGCACATACATGTATTATAACATTGATGGGAACACTCCTCGTCCAATTACTATGTAGTAAATTCACACAATTTACGCATCTAAAAAAGGTCAATTATTTTAAGTGACATTTTGCTACCAGCTGAGATTAAGCACAGCTTTGTGTATTTTCAGATGGCTTAAGAAAATTGATTTTTTTTCTTCCACTTCTAGCATTCAGAATGACCCTGATTGTCTCTGGCAGCTGAATACACAATTACTTAATGAGTAATGAATACACAGTGGAGAAAAAAAAGATACCAATACATATCATGTCAACAAGAGATGCATATGATGTATGAAAGATACTCATTTTCTTTTCCATACAAACCCATCAGGAAGAATCCTAACTCAGCATGGGGGCAAGTTATGAATAATGGTATGCCTGTCTTAGTAAGATCTTACATTAGACAATCAGCATGAGTAAAACCATACTGCAAGGAAAAATATTGGATTCTGCAATGCATATTGGACAATATTAAAGGGTACAGGGGATCAATCTTACCACTAACAACCTATTTTGTAGCACAAATAACTGCAGAACCCAGCAACTGCTCGGACATAATTCATGACCAAAACTAAATAAATGTGACTTTGGTGACATCCAGATTGGGAGCTGAACAATACAACAACTGTAAATCAGAGGAAGTTTATCATAGATTCCATTTTGCCGGCTTGACTTTGGGTGGGATTCCCAATGAGTTACACAACCTCAGATTATTCTATATTGAAATATAAATTAGCTTTGACACTCATCAAGTATTTTACTAGTTAAAGATTTATCAAGAGGCATTACCAATCCCATCTGGTGCATTTCAAATCAAACAAAGAAAAAAAATATTGCACAAAACCCACACATTGGTTACTGCTTCATAATGTGTCTCCATTTTTTATATAAATCACTCAAAGAATATATATTTTTCTTTCCAAGACTTTCCAGAAAATCCTAAGGAGCAATTCATCATTGTCCAAGTCCTAAAAAAAAATTCTTAATGCATCATGCTATTTTTCTGGAAATGCAAAACAATTTATAGAAAATGCATGACATATTTTCACATAAAATAAATAAACCATACAATGGAAAAAAATGTTTTCTTCTGACTAAGTCTTAGTATCTTTCCATTCCTGAAATACCCATGCAAATTCCCAATTCATTTCCTTGAAGAAAATGTACTTCAAAGACTCCCATTTCAAGTACAGACAATAAAATTCTTCCCAATCGTTCATGTTAAAATGTTCTATAAATTTTTTGGGGCCTGCCAAATGTACAATCAATGATGATCTGTTTATTTTCAGTGCAAAGAAAGTTAATAAACACTTGATTTGGATTTTATTATGCTCTGGCACTTAATTTAAAAGCTTTCCTGACTCAGGGTTAGAAATTTCCACACATTATTTACGCTACAACAAACAAACTTTTGACAGGTCAAGAAACACTTATTTGGGTAAGAAATCACGGACAAGTTGCAGGTGGACTAATCTGTTGTTAACTTTTTTCTCAGTAAATTCAGGCCTTTGATCCACTGTCTTTCTGGGGAAGTAACTCCTGAAAGAAATATGCTGTAAAGTGCATCTTTGAGGCACATCAAGACTTTGATTGATTGACTGGTACTTGATGGGAATAACTTTAAACATTCAGTTTGGTTCATTAATGATCTTCAGCTATTTTGGGATATTACTGCAATTAGAATCCAAGAAATCTAAATCAACCATGTTTCTTATCATTCAATTAAATTAAATAAAAAAACTTTATTTAATAAAATTTTAAGTCCATTTATTGAATTTTGAATATTTTCATAGCTTTTAAAAATTAAGTTCAATTCTCCAACAGCAGTTTTCCCAAGAAAGTGAGGTTTCTACATTTTTTCCCCCATTTCAGTCCAACTCCACTGGAAAAAAAAAAGAGAACTATAAACCAGCATTTTATTGATTTTAGAATTAGAGCCATGACAAGTATACATTCTGTCTTGAAATTTCCCCTGCAGACATGAAACACCTAATTAAGCAGCAAAACCCCAAGACACCAGCAAGACATCTAGGTTTGTCATGGATAAATCTAATATAAGTACAATTTTCTACTCAAATTTGAAAATTCCATTGACCATTGTGAACTTTGGATCCACATGGGATTCTTTTTGCTAAATTTCAGCTTGTCAGAGGTAATTGTCTCAACACCTGAGAACAGCAATTTCAATTGCTTATCACACATCTAACAGTAGCGGTCTGACAACTGAGACAATTTTATTATTTCTTCTCTCAGCTTAGTTATAATTTGAAACATTCTGTTACAATACAAATACCCTGATCCTATCAGCCCACTGACCTCCCTTCATTTATTTGTAAAACCAAAAAAACTTGAAACCTGTCTTTAAGTTGCAATAAAACATCTAAGATTTTGCAGAAAATTGATGATCTGTCAAATGTTAAGAAAAAGTTCTTCCATCTATCCTTTCCTTACTTCACAAAGGAGAACGAAATCAGTTTGCACTTTATACCCATACTTAAAAATGTCTGAGATCTAGGCTGAGTTTAACCAAACTAGGTAAGTGGTCTTTCAATATGAATAAGACAACTCATATTGAAGACTGAGAAAATGTCCAGGATAGATTTTAAAAATAGCACAAAACATCTTCATACTTTAAAAGTTAAATTTACAAGCCTTAAACAAATAAGTAAATGTACCTTGCATATATTTATTGTAAAAATACTGAAATTTCATCTTAGAAGATAAATCTTGAAATGAAAACTTCAATCACAAAAGATTTTAAAAGAAGAGAAACATAAGCACCAGCATTTTCAGTCCAATTCTATCAAAACTGAAATTCCACGGTTAAATCTTTAAGTGTGTGGACATTTTACAGGTAATGATATGATTTTCTAGGTGACTTTGCATGATTATTAGTGTGTACAAACACTTAAGGGGAGGATTGCAAGCCTAGGATACCCCAAACTAGCTAGAAACATGATCTTCTACTGTTAGCACTAGATTATCAAATGTACAGGAAATGTTAGCTCATTAAATATTTATTCTATTCAATGTAAAACCTTAATGATTATACATCTACTAAATTTTTCTTTTTCTTTTATTGATTTGAAAATAAGTCATTTCCTGGTGGTTTTTATTTTTTTCCAGACTTTCAACAGATGGAATATTTTTTTTTATAATTTAATATTCATTAATATTTCAAAACTTTAAAATCAATGTTTTTTTATGCTTCGTTGCCTAATACTTTATTAAATTGAAACACAGTTCAAGAAAAGTGTGTCAATGTTTGAGATCTCAAAAACTGTACTAAGAATTTCAAAATTATAAATTCTAATTTAGAGCATTACAGCAAAACTCGGTTAAAGTGAAGTTCTGGGGACCTGCAAATTTACTTTGCTATACCCGTAATACATAATATCCATATAACGAATTTGTAAAAAGTATAAATAACTAATTCATTGTATCAATTTTTTTCCTTCAAGCATGACTACCAACTGTGCTATTAGGGAAGTTTAAAATATAAAATATATCTAGATCTTGGATTTCAAAAGTTTTTGAATGAATTGAGTTTCAAATATTTATACTTACAAAATTGTTATCAGTTCAATATTCTAAAAATTAATCTTTCAAAATTCGCTACAAAAGTTGTCAATTTTATTATATTTAGCTTCTAAGGGAGACAATTCAGTTCGCTATAGCCATTCATTCACTATATTCAAGTTCGTCATATTTGTAAAATTTTACAAGGAGCATGCAGTTAAGAATTTTGTCAGGGATTGCTGAAAACATCGTTATATCCATACATTCGCTATATCCGTTCATACTAAATAAGTTTTACTCGTAATTTTGTTTCAAATCTATATAAATTCACTGAATAATACCAGGGAAGCTTAGAAATACATGAAGAAAAAGTTGATTCCATTATTTTCTGTAATTATTCATTGAAGGCAGATAGAATCTCCCTCTCACAATGAATACCAAAGGTATGAATATTTTATATCTACCTGCCCAATTCTTACTGTCAGATTACTGACAAGGGATTAATTAAGATGAATTTCATTTAATCTCTTAGACTCGTAAGGCATACTACCTCTTCACACCTCCAATCAAGGTAAGACCTAGACATATTGATTTTATAATCTCATTGAAGGGAAGAAAGGTGAAAATAACAGACTCCCAAGGTTCTGCCTATCAATTATTAGAATCAACAATCAGGGAAAACTAAAGATAAAAGCACAACAGGAATAAAAAGAAAATTCAGAGAGAAAAAAATCTTCGATTCCTTTCCCCTCCTCATAAAATCATAGTATGAGTACTGATATCTCCTCTGACCATTTTTGCTTCTGTAATAACACCGAAGAACACTGCAAAGAATAGTTTTTCAAAGTGGTAATTTCATTCAACCTCTAGAAATTGCAGTTCTTTATTTCAGTCAATAAATTGAATGGAAAAAAGGGGAAAAAATCTCATTTTATTTTATACCTTCTAGATATGAATTTGAAGCTAATACCCGGTATGTCATAAGAAAGTAAGATTCTTCTCTGCCAGGAAGACAACATCCCAATCCAGAAACACAACAGCATTGAACCAGTCATCATTATGCAAATGCAATTTTTCAAACAAAGAATCTCTTGACATTTGTGCATTCTTTATTCTCTATTGCACTTTCAGAGATGAGAATTTAACAGGATTTATGCCCACAAATCATTATCATTGCAGAAATCCATCTGCAACATGACACATTGGAACTCTCGCTCTGGTCCAGGAAACACCAGTTTGGTGATGCTTTATGGAGCGATTTGTGGTCCACACGGTTCAGTGTGTCCAAATCTGCAGGGAATCTATAATTTATCCAGGAAATATTTTGGGAAGATTTTATCATGACATGTGCCATTACTGTTAAAAAACATCATGGATTATCCTATAAATGTGTGCAGATTTTAATATGATAAAGCCCAGCATTTGTTTTTTCATGGCTTCCTTCGTTTTTAATGAAATTATGAACTATAGATTCCACATCTGGGTTGTAAACTCTGAAATAGGGCAATTAATGCCAATGTAACCCAATCACTTTATCCAATATGATTTCTAATGAAAACATGCAGTTTTATACTCTCATGTATGTCCTAATTTGCTTTGCAATATTTGATTAATTAAAAATGCCAGAAAAATATCTTACCTTCATCGTCAAATAGCTCCCTGCAAAAAAAAAGAAAAAAATATAAAATAATTATTACAATATCAGTCACCTATTTAAAAGTGTCATCTTTGTTACTTATTATTATGCATAATTATAGTTAAACAATTTTTAAGAAAACTAGTACACCAAGAAACAGTCATGTAAAAGGGAAGAAAAAAAAGGGGTTTGTTTAGTTTGGAAAAGAAATGAGGAACATACAGATTATTACCTTGAAATGTTCATTGCTAACAAACCCAAATACCACAGAACAGATGGAGCAATCAACTATCCATTCTAGTTAACCATTGCCAATCTATTGTACCCTTACTCTGGTGTTAGAAAAATTGGTGCTAAATAGTATCATTTGTATACAATTACGTTCCCATTCATGGGAGGCAGGGGGATTAAAGTATATAATAGGAAGGGTTTCCCTTTCTGACAAATGTATTGAAATGCTTTGCAGGACTTCCTCTGTGGGAGGGTGGGGATACAAGGGATATTCAACACATTCTTCCAACAACTAGGAGCATAAACAAATAAGATTATAAGCATACCAGGAAATCAAGCTACTATTCCATTCATTTTGGCCTGGCACTTCTCAGTGGACATCTGCCCACTTTACCAAAGACTGTCGGTTGCATTAATTTTGCCAAAAATAATATGACATAAAATGTCAAAATGCTTTAATTCACCTTTCTCTCTCAGAGAAAATCAAGATTTAAGACTTATAAAGAATTCAGGAGACATATGTGTGGAGCTACTCCATTAAAATCTATCTAATGTTAAAATATAATACAATGTATTTCAAAGACTTCTTCATCCTTGTGCAAGGTTCAAACAAAACAAAGCATTTTAATCCCACAAATTATGGGTTTGGGGTTAGAAATTTATAAATGCATGTAAATGAACTGTCTGAAGTCGGGCCAGATTATTGCTTCTCTGTAGCTAGAGATTCACCTTGAGGTTTTCCTCCAAAGGATGTATGAGGTCCTTACACCTAGGGAAGAGAGGATCCATTTACTATAAAACGTATTATTAAAGCCCATCCCACTAATGACCAAGATGAACTTTTAACACAGACTACAATTAACAGGGAGAGGTGTACATTCAAAATCAAGACATCCTTTGGGTAAAGATACAAGGTCGTGATGAAAAATGAATTCATTCACAAAGCCATGTATTAAAATAAACTCTGTAAACTGGTAAAATTAACGAAAGAAGGATATCATTTTTCCAGCAGAGTTTACAGATATTTTTTTATCTTTGAGATATTTATTGCAACTTTTATCTGACTCTTAGACATTCATCATCAATCAAATTAGGGTTCTGATCACAGGGGCCGATAAAGGGCTCCAAGATTTTTTTGTCTTTTCAGCTCTAATTATGAAAAACAAGAATTTCTTCCATAATGACATCTATTTGAGCTTTAGTTTTGGGTCAGTTTAAAAATTCTTGAGTGTTACAAGAAAAACTAGTCAAACACAGCTGAAATGATAAATAAGATACTCCGCTTTCCTGAGGTATCTTTCATTAAAAAGAAATAATCTTGGGTAATCTTAAGACCTGACACCTTATCTTATTAAAAATAAGCATCTGTCAAATGGAAGCAGTGCTATTTCCCTGCAAAATCATTTTATACTTTAACCAAATCTCATTTTTCAAATACTTTACAGACATTGAAAATTTTTTATGGGCATTTTACTGTAATTTCTTAAAATTTACATGCCATGATAACAATATAAAGCTTAGCAAAGCAGAAAAACCATTTCGCTTCTGAATTAAATTTCACTTTGTCTAACAAATGGTATAATAGTAGCTGCTTTCATTGATTGTTAATCGTTTCTATTCATACCTTATGTAAAAAATTCTCATAAAGAACTATATGTATTAACCTAACATTTGCCCCCCAAAAATGGTATAATAGTATATGCTGCTTTCATTGATTGTTAATAATTTCTGAATTTTGCAGAAAAATACCTTATGTAAAAACATGAGGATAACCCCTAGAATGATAATATCAAAATTTCCCATACAAAATCAACTGCATGTAAGAAATGTTTTAAAAATACCCCAATAATCTACATCATTTGTCAGATGAGTTTCTTTCTTGGCATGGAATGAAAAACAGATTTAGAAGTGTCAACAATTATATGTTTGATGCACACCATTTGAAAAGCACTAAAAGATAAGGAACTACTCGGAAATTTGGGTGATGGTCTAGAGAGAAGTTCAATTTTTCCGTTTTGCACTCCATAGTGGCAAAGCTATGTAATCATGTGACAGAAAACATTAAACAAGGCCCACAACATATACCAAAATTATTCAAATGAGCAATTTTAACCTTATTTTGTGAATCAACTGAAAAAAAGTCCTTTATATAACATTTTATAAATTCTGGCATTTTACATTAGCAGATATTTTCTAATTTTTCAACTAAGGAATTTAAAAAAAAAAATATCCTCAAATTAGAGCAAGTTAATTAAATGCGACAAGTTAAAATGGAATGATAAGATTTTATGGGAAGGGATATAATTTTGGCCACACACCAACCAAAACCCAGGCATAAAATTTACATTTCTCAGCCTAACTTCCTGATAAAACATGGCTCAGTCTCTTAAGCTCATTGTTTAAAACTCATCACAGTAGCAATTAACTAAATGAATGTTGATGTTAAAAAAATAAAACAGATAACTTATAATAAGGCATGATTGGAAGAAAAGAATGTTCTGATTATCAATGTCTTTGATCTTGATACTCTTCTTATCTGAGGGATAATGCAGGGCTGTCATCTTCAGACACCATTCATCTTTATTCTTACTGAATATCAGAAATTACAAGGAATAGTTTTAACTAAATAGGAAAGATAAAGGATATGTATCATTTTTAAAAGTGGTGGCATTGATAAAGTGCAGTTGCACAACTTTTGACATAACAGCTTCATATCTTTTATAGCAGACCTGAGGGGGTGCATCCAGCTCTGCTAATGAGAAAATCTTGTGTAATAAAGTCAACTTCACATGGGAAAATATATGTGTTTTAATATGAGACTGAAAAATGGTGCTAAACATGCCAAATTTGTGGGAAATGAGACAGATTTATATGCCAATTCTATTAAAATTTAAATTTTTACTCTAATCTCATCAAGCATCAAAATACGTTAGGACTTAAATTGATGCACATGCATTTTCTGCATTTTTCAAAAGTGACAATGAAAGAGAGAAAAAAAGAAGAAAAAAGTACACTAAAAGTATTGATGACTTGTCTGTTACTTAGGCCATTTCCCATGTCAATTAATATCAATATGAGAGATTCATTAATTGTGCTCACTCCATTATTATAGATGCTATTACAGAGTGTGTATTGTGTATTGTATTCTATGAGGCTATGGATAATGCCATCAGGCCCTACTCCCTAGTATTGAAAGCAAAGAAAAAAAACCCTCTACATTTAATTGAAGCTCTCTGAATGGAATAACTCTTGTACCTAGTAGAGCAAAGGACAGATTCATCGTCCAGAATTCCATTGGATAAAAAACTCATCACCGTGAATTGTACATTGAATGGCTTAAGCACGCCATTTTCTAATCATTACTGTATATCGTAGAACAAGTACATCAATATTTCATATGGTCTTATTGAAACCCTGTTTCCTTTTGTGTGTAAATTACAATATCTGCCTTGTCTGTTCACCACATAATCAAACATACAAAAAATAATAATGAAAGAAATGGTTATTCTGTAACTATCTTCCATTTTATTGTAGGGTGAATCCTCAGAGTCCTGGATAAAATACTGATGATTAAATTTAATGAAAAAATTGCCAAAAAATAAAATTAAAAAAGCAAGATACAGAAATTTAAAGGCTGTACCTAATATTGTAATTTTGAGAAAATTTTAAGAAGATTTTTTAGAAAATATTATCGTTGACAAAATACTGTATTACTGTTTAGACATATCACCCTGTTTACATCCTAAGGAAAAAATAGTTTGCTCCAAGTGCCTCTTTCCATGAGTAAAGATTGCTTTTATTGTCTTGCTAACAAGACAGATAATAAAAAGATTATCATAATGGAACCCTGGTGTGAAAATAAACTTAGACAAACCAGGGAAAAGGAAGTCTAGCTTTCATCTCTTCAATGAGATGAATGTTTTACGTTCAGGTTAAAGACTTTTCCACCCTTCTGGCATTGACTTTTTAACAAACACAGTCTCAAGTACTTGATGGTAAGGTACTAAGTTTGACATTATGTAGCCTAGGCTGTCAAACTCTTCAAATATTCAAAAAGGGGGGAAAATATTTTTTTACTCCAAGTACATGCTTAGAAAATTTAAAAAGCAACAGTTTTAAAATTTGAAGTTTTTTTAACTTTGAAAATTGCACAACTTTTTCAACTTGTCTTAAATGTTCCTTTACATTAAGAGAGACTTGAATAATTAGATAATATTTTTGACAGTTTAAAAAGAACTTCTTTGGACCACCCACTGATAAAAATAATGAACATTTTTCTTTGAATCTAATCTCTCTTGTTTTTTTCTTCTAAGGACCCCACCTTTCCTGTCCATCTATTTTCATGTAAACACAGTGCCAGGAAAAATCATAAAGTTGCCTTTTCCCAAATTATCTAAACCATTTTTCTTCCTTTTTTAATAAACATTGCTAAGTGGTTAACTCAAGTACATCCATTTTTTAAAACATAAATTACAAAATATATCAGATTATCAAGAGATCAGGACATATTTTGAAACTATAAAATTCTCCATTTATAAACAATGCTGTTATCTATAACTTCCTCTTGTTAAAAAAATTGTGTCATACAATTTTTTAGCATGGATGGATCTTTTATTTATCAATATTTTGTGTTTTTTCATACAGTCATTTATAATGTAAATAAATGGCATTTTTCAATTCAATTGAGAGAGAGAAAGGCTTCACAAATATTGTGTCATAGCTATTAAGAAAAACAACTATCATAGATGACACATCATTATGGGGATAATCCATGTTTATTTACCAAAATTTGCCTTAATTCCAAAGAAAATACATTAATCTTGTTCAAACATCCATTGATTCTCTGATGTGTGAAAGATTAGAGCAAACCCTACAGCCATGAGTAGAAATTAACAACCGAGATTAAGACAATAGCACAGGAATGAAATTTCCACCCAGAAAGAATTTCAATAAAAAGAAAGCTAAAATTTTTCTAATTCTAAATTAAATCTGGTTAGTTTAATAAATTGTAACTTACGTCAACCCCAGTTTGTGAACTGGAATTTCGAATGCGTATTTATGGGAAGATGAATTTTTTCTTGACCTGTACCCTGGGTCGCATTCTGCATAGTCCACGTTTCTAAGTACGTATAACATCCAAAGAAGAAAAATCATCTGAGGTAATTCCAACATTGATAATGCTTTACGAAAACAATCACACACTAACTTTTGTGAAAAAAATATAATTTCACGTTCCAGCACATAAAAGCATCTTCTTACATGCAGAACATTGCAAATAATTCTATTAAATGGCACATCCCTCTTTTAAGTCAAGTCATTTTTTTGCCATTTAATTCCTCAAACATTGGGTCATTTTACACCATATTACATCAAAATATCACATCAAGTCGAGTTTCCTCAGAGCGAGAGAGCTCTCCGCTGCTAAAAAACACACACTGCTTCTCGAAAGTAGGAAGTGACAATTTCTCAAGAGAGCCAGGATTTGATTAGGACAGGTGGCAGCTAGGATCAGCCAAAACAGTTTCTGACTATAATTTATAACGATTTATCTTGGTCCCTTTTCTCCATCCTGAGCTAACCAGGCCTCACATCTTTTATATATCTTATCAATTTTTAGCATTTGTAAGTAAAGTTTTCCTATATTCCAAAGGAAACCTGCCTATCAGTAGAAATGTCAGGACACCTCCTACTTTCCGGTGTTGATATTGGCATTCGCTTTGACTTGCAGGTTAATTTTTCACTCTTTTTTAGAAGGGTAGAGCAGAATATCTCCTCCAACAATCTCTCCCAATAGCACTTGCTTCTATAGCTGTTTATCATCTAAGACAAATATATTATGAGTGTTTAAAGACCATCAATAATTACTCAGCAAGCACAGGGTTATGAGGGCTTAGTAGCTGCTTTAACAAGATAAGAAGGTGTTTTCCCAATGTATGACACAGCTTTCGTCATCCAACAGTTAGAAGTAAGTATGCTTCCATATATACCATCGCAGTGTAATATCCCTCACTGTTTTACATGTTTACAAGGAGTACAAGCCACATAAAAAAGTGTGCTATAAGTATTAACTTCTGAGTGTGGATATAATCCCTGAAAATCAATAGGCAGCAGAGCCTTACACCACTAGAGTTACACCTTTTGACAACTCGTGAAAATAATCAACCCTGTCCATGAATCTTTTAGTAGTCTTATTCCTTGAAGAGCATCCCTTAAACTATTGCATTAATTTACTTGGGAACAAAAATTAGAAAAGAAATTCTTGACTTTGAGGTTAACCTCAAATGAATGGTCACAGCCTGTGGTATCCCAGAAGTCAATGGGTGGATGTCTCATTAAGGGTCCTACCAGCCCACCAATTGTATTCACTTCATACTCTGAAACGTACAGCCTGACTTAAATCACTGCTCTACTATAAAAGCATCATACAGTACAGTTTCTTATTATCTCTCTGTATGAGCAGTACACTTTTGTCTTCTGAACAATAAAGCTTCTGCACAGAGGAGAACACTTATTCTGAATCCTGTCATGAAAGAGCCTTCCAGATTTTTATCATTTGGCACTTTATCCATGAATGGAGGATAATATATTTCCTGCTTTTTTAAAGCATTTTTTTCTCTCTTCAAATTCTTGGTTTTTTGGAACCTGCAGCAGAAATTGTTTGGAATTCTCTTTTTGACAGTTTTTTTTCACTATTATATTTTATTTTTCACCCCCTGACAAAATGACGTAATAGATGACATATTCAAAATGATGGTCATAAATTTAACCAGAGAACCAGTCTGACTTATGAATAGCATCACTTTAAACGCTTCATGAAAGTAAATCCTGTTTTGAGTATTTTTGACACTATAATAAATCATGAAATTTAATCTGCAGAAAGTTTTGAAATTGTGAGCACACTGCTACTATTCCTCTTATTTACCAACAAAGGACAGGCAGAAAATCAATAGCCTAACTTTTATTTCCAGTTGCGAAAGTTTGTCGCTGTGAGCTCCTGTGGTCTGATGGGTAACATTGCAATCGTTGACACTTTTATACGGATATCCAGTTTTAGACACAACTTCCCTCCCTGTTTTTGGGTGTTGTTCAGACATTTCATTGAACTGTTTTAGGTATTAAATTGTCCAACATACTCTCCCATGGAATTTCATTGGATGACAAAAATGTTGACCGGTCAACAATTGTGGATGACAAGACAAATTCATTTTCTTTCAAGGAAGACACAGAAAAATTGTCTCTGTTCATAAACTATACATATAAAGAGTTAATGCACTTAACAAAAGGCCTCCTTCCCAAACTTTTTTGTTAGTTTTAAGTAGAGACTATAGCTAGAGGAAAACAAAAAAATAACCTTCCTTCAGTTATAAATCTGTCTCCATTTAATAGAAAATGTTGCCAGTTTCTTGCTACTTTTTATAAAATGTCAAATATATCTGAAGGGACGTCTCTCAAAATCACAGCAGACCCATATCTACCCGCAGGGGACATGTTGACAAATGCATGGCACATAGACCCTCTTCATCATGTAGCCACCAAAAAAAAAATAACAGCATCAGAACAATATAAAGATCACAATAACAAAATGCCCCAAGTTGGTGGGTGTAGCTCTAATTTTTTTTTTGACTTTTATCATAATTGTTTACATACAAGGGAGACCTCAGTATTGAAGTTGTTAAGTATTAATTCAATTTGTTTAAACACACATGTTCCAGCAATATTAATATTAAGCCAATCCTCTTGACAAAACACAAATATAAGGGGGTTTCTTCTTAATTGATATTTAGCTTTTATCTATACAAACATTACTGAACAAATATTGTCTTAGAGTGTAAAACAAGTTAGGATCTGGTCATAGAATAAAGTTGCCCAATAAAAAATTCAATATACAATTTCTACCACTATTGCTGAATCTATATGAGCATATGAAGTCTCCATCACTGCATAGGACATAAAGGGTCTCAAGGACCATAATACTTGTACACTATATTCCAATGCTTTTTTTTATCTTACTAAACCTGATTGTCATGATACTGCCATAAAATAAAATTATATTAAGGATAAATAACACAAACAAACTTTTTTCAGAAATCAGCATTATTTCTCGTAGATTTTCATTTAAATTGGTAACCTGAATGATGTAGAGTGGGAGAATTATATAAGATTTTGTCAAAATGTTAAAAATATATGCAAAATTTTGTATGGAATTATATAGAAGGCAAAACAAAATCTCATATCTAAGCACCAAGGAAAACCTATGATTTCTTTTTAATTCAGGGATTTATTATTTATGTCATTTTAAATCGAAATCAGTCAAAAAATATATATCAAGCCGTGCATCCATTTTTTGTTTGTGGTAAGTACCCTTAATAAGGAAATCGTTTATGTCAATGAAGGAATTTTCCTTTGAATTGAAATAAATTTACAATAATCCAAGAAATCAGGGGCATGCACTCTGTACAAAGAAAGCCATCAAAAGTAATCTCCCTTGCCTATATTCAGTTCAATAACCTTAGGGTTTGTCTGGAGAATATGTAGCATTCCCGACATGCTGGGGTTATGGCTGACTAGTGATGGGGGTGTAATTGTTAATCAGAGCCAGACATGGAATATGTGCAGAAATTCTACTGGACTTAGTGCCACATGTGCAGACTACAACTTGTGACAAACCTTTCACAAATCAACAACACTGGCAATCCATTCGCTATGGCTGTGGTAGAAAATAGGTGTAAGCCTCAATGAAAGCCAAAGACTTCAGAAGAAATCTTTTCTTCAGCTCTGACATTTAGTAGATAAAAAGATACCAGTCATAGTTTTCTAACAAGTTTCAGACATCTGATGTGAAGAGATAATATTTTTGTAGACCTTAGTTGAACCTTAACCAGTACTTTCCCTTCATATTGTCACTATTTCCACCAGAAAACCAAATTCATCCCTCCCACTTCCAAAAAAAAAGATTTTTTTTTCTCTGTTTCAAGTGAAAAAAGTTTTTTTTTGTTCAAGTTTCACATAATCTTTTACTCTCTCTCTCTCTCTTTTTTTTATACTAAAAAATGATGTGCCCAGTAGTGCTCCAATGGATTTTAATCATAATCAGAAGTTAATTAAACAAAACCCCCACATAATCAGTAAACCAGAGCAATCAGATTTACAGTTCCTCTATTGAAGTCAATCTTTTAGGGCAAACTGATATGCAAATTTATACTATCAGGAGTTTGATGTTCTTCAATGATGTCTTCTAGCTGAATTTGTCCAAAGCATGTGAGAGTGTTATGTGATGATGATGTGTTACCAAGAAATGAAATAGCTGTCATTTGAATAATAGAGGCTTAGAAAGAAATAAAGGTTCAGAGCAAGTAGGATTCTACATGAGATAAATGCTTTAAGATCTGTCGATCTACATAAAACTGCCTATTCTCTAAACATGCCAAATCTCACGTTAAATTTAAAATACAAATATTCAACACAAATTCATGTTGAATTTTTTAAAAAAGAAATAAATAATTGATATTGGAAACCCAAATTGATTGTAAATTCAACTAAGTGTGTAATAAATATCTTCTGTCTTATCAAAGCTCTCAGCATAAATCACTGCACAAACGCAACTGTTGGACAACTTGATCATTTTCACTTCACAAACAGGAGAAATTTCATGGTTGTGAGCCAGAAAGCAGCAGTCAGAAGGTAGAGCTAGGCCATAAATCTCCGTGATTTGGTCTACAGGAAAAAACAAGCCTCCCGTCTGCCTCAAGAAAATGGCAGACTCGCAGACCTGGAGGAGTTTGATGGACATATCTTTTACAGCATGGAACTCGACTGCCGCCTGCTCCTGATTACCTAGGCGATAAATACAGGTGCGGGAACACAACAACATGAAAGATTTATAAGTTGACTGGTAGATACCCAATCTTACAAAGTGCCTCAGTCACTCATTAAGAATGACGGTTTGATGGAAACTTGAAGCAAATAACTTTTATTCACAAGATTTTGTAACTTTTACTTCCAGGAACTACCCTTTCTTTTAAATAAATCAGGAAACACACATGTAATTTTGTCCTGTTTAACTTTTGGCATATATTCAGGCAATCATGGTTGAATCTGTATCAATCAGTGATAAACTATGATAATTTTTTTTTGCCATTTGTTACAATTATAAACTGCATTGTGCAAGTTATGCAAGTTTTCTATTTTTGTTCAGTATTTCTGTTTCTGAGATGAATCATTACCTATATCAACAATAATCAAACTGGCAAATGTCTAGCTCTGCAGTTTGCTGAATAAGTATTTTTCCAATCATTTGAATCCTATGGCTATTTTCCGTCATGGATGCAAACCAGACATCCATGAAAAAAAGATGGTCATACAAAGGAAATTGGGGACTTATAGGGCAATTATTTGATTTGACGATCAATCAAATCATCCCTCAAGATTGTTTTAAAAGTTCATGTCTGACATTCACAGAGATCTTCTTCAGAAAATATTGGCTACCCAGAAGCCTATGCATACTTATGTATGAGATTACACAGTCAATTAGGGGCTTAAGTTGTGGCTTATGAATTTCTTGCCCTCCATACATTACTAATCAATGTGCATGTCTGTGGAATTTCTTGTCCGCTGACCTCACAATAATCCCCTTTTACCAGTCAACTCCAATTAGGACTTCATCAAATAGCACTTTGCTGACTATCTCATACTGTTCCTGAGAATACACTACTGAGTTCAGAAATGAGGTGACAAATCACTTGGCAGTTTGGGACAGTTTTGCTCAAATTGGAGATGATTAGGTGAAAACATCCATCTGCAGCAGATGGGCTGCCACAACGTGAACAATTGCTGCAGCCCCAGTGGTCTAAACATTCACACCATTCCAAACATGTCACATCATTAAAACATGCTAGAATACGTAAAATCAATGGTTTTAAAGGTCATGACCTTTTGCAGATAATTCTGTAGATTAGTGTTACCAGTATCACTAATTATCAGCAACTTAGAAAGATAGTAAGAAAATTCTTTGTGAAATTTTTTTCTCTTATACCGGTAGTTATTGATTTTTTTTTTTCAAGTGGAAAAACTAAAGCAGAGAGAGAAAGAGAGAGAGAGCATGACATCAATGGTGAAAGGAAATCTCATTATCAATTAGGGGGTGAGACACTCAGTAGATCAAACAACCCTCATTACTACCGTCCACTAGGGTCCATGCATCTAAATATGAATGACAGATTCCACCAACATCATACATGGTAAAGCTTTTAGGTAGAGTGTACCAGATTAGCGCATGAGAGTGATTTCTTTATTAGTGGAACACCTTTCCTGGGCAATTACATCTCATTTTTACTTGTCAAAGCACCTGCGCCATCATTGACAACTGAAGTTTATCTTTGCCAGGGGTTATGTATCTGTTCCAGTTACAAAAAGCTTTTTTTGCTTTCTTCCAAGGCAAGGTACTTCTACATAACTAAAAGAGAAATAAATTCTATGTGAAGTCTTCTGGTTTTAATTAATATGTTTCATTATGTTTTCAGATAAAAAGGTAT